ATACATACTATTAAATAAAAAGTAATGGTATATTACATCAAAACATTTATTGACTATTTTTTGGCATGATGCATTTTGCCGACTTCTCAATCAAAACTGTTTGCAGACTTGTTGAAATCCGTCGGTCCTGTCGGCAAGGCCGGTAAAAATTTGTCTGGACTGATAACTTTTAAGAAAACGTCGGTCCAAATGACCGTTTGAAAAAATCAAGCGTGACGCAAATTTAAAAAAGGTCGGGATCGGGATGCGCAACTGAAGGTCACAAACACAGAAGAGATGGCCATGTGCGCAGCGTAGTGATGATGGTCAATTTAAATTGTTACAGGAAAGACATAAATATGTAATTTATGTCTCTTATTAAAGACTTTCTATCCTAAGAAAAGAAACTTGTGAGATTGAAGGCTGTTGAAAATATTAAGGGCATTTTGGTGCTGTTATTTATTTTCCTTTCTCAGCGTCAAAATAAGGTACATGTATCTGGTCTGATAAAACTTCGTCCGGTCTGACAGAACATTTGACTTTGTCAGACCAAATGTCTGACAGTGATTTCAAAATTTCGACAAGTCTGTGTTTGCCTTCGGCCTAAAGGCCAAAAATGCATGTTGCTAAGTCAATTAATGTATGGCGTTGCTGAATCCAATGCGCCCCTTTACCCCTTGTAATATCCAAACAGAAAAGGAGGGCATTTACATTAGAAGATCTGGGGTTAAATCTTAACCTATTTATACCAAAAAAAAAAACACTCTATGCACTGACCACAGACTACCGGTAAAAAAAAAATCATGACATTTATAGATTTTTACATTTTAACAGGTTGGGCACAGTTCCTTTTTCGAGGAAGTATTACTATAAAACGGGATTATTCCTCTTTTCAGTAATAAAATCATAACTGTATACGAGAATTTTCGTCATATTTTTAAAATAATGCCCCAAATCCGTTTATTAAATAAAAAGTGCATGAAAAATACGACATGATTTGTTTAAACTTTATTAAACCAACATCGCTGACAAAAAAATTCGGTCCTTTAGTGCTGCAGACAGGAGTTAAGATGAGATTTAATCGTACGACATCATGAGTATTCTTCAAACGGATGTGAATATATCCCTTGTAAGTTATATTATTATTTGTTCAAAAACGGAAAATTTCATAGCTTGGTTTCATGGAGGTGACATCTTTTGAACATGCATAGGGATTTAAACTCACGTGCAGCAGTAATCCACGACTTTTATTTTAATTTTCCCTGTTGATAAATTATACGAAAAGTATGGAATCTTATAAGGGCATTCATGCTAAAACCATCTTTGAAAGACTATCTTTTGAAATTTAATATTTCAAATAATTATTTTCATCTGTAAAAGAAGCAGTGGTATAAAAAAAATTATTTTTTCGATGTCTTTGAAAGAAATGATATAAAATTAAATTAGAACGAATAATGTCATGAACGAATTAGCAAGTGCTGAACGTATACAATCTCACAATTTTAACACAGATAAACTTCTGTAAGAAATTTATATTGTAGAAATATTTCATCACTCTTTTTCAGCATTTTGCAGCGATAAATATTGTAATTTTGAGCATACATAGACTTAATAGACTACAAATATTTGGAGGATGTGAAAATATTCTTGCACTTAATCTTTTATTCAATGCAAACACGAGAATAGAAGGTAAATGAGTGAAAATTCCTGTATACAGTAATGTTTTTATTACTGAAAAGAGGAATAATCCCGTTTTATAATAATACTTCATCGAAAAAGGAACTGTGCCCAACCTGTTTAATATAAAGCATCTAAAGTTCTGCCTACCATGCTTGCCATTTTCTAGGGCTGCTATGCATTCTTCTAGACAGTTTCTAGTTGGATTGCCACTTCTGGAGTATTCAAAACCCTAAAAAAAATGTGACAGCTTATTAAAAACACACCATACTATCATTAAAAAGATTCATATTAAAACATTTTTGATCCGCCCCAGTTATTCTATGTTCCAGTTACTAACATGATGATCCCCCGGTGCCTTCTGCTTAAACGTTGTTGACATTGAAATCGGTGGAACCACAGCCCTTGAATTCCATTTTTCTGGCTCCTGTCCTACATGTGTTGCCTTCGTTCCAAATCCTGGAAATGGTTTAAAGTTTTCCATTGCCCTTATAATGGCTTATTCAATATCAAACTGTTCCGTCGTCTACACCACAGTTCCACGCGCACCTGTTGGGTTCGACCTTCACCCTCGAGATGCTCTAGGTTGTCATAAATTCACTTATTCGTTTTAAATAAAAACGATATTTTAAAATGTTAGGAAAATGAAGATTAAAAAATAATTAGACATGAACGTTGAAAAATGATCAGAGCAAATAATATTTTTAAAGTAGCACATCACGTAGTAATGTAGGTGTTGTCTCTGAAAGTTTTTGGCGCGAAATTTCGAGAGGCAATTTATGTATGATTTACCAGTCAAATCATTCTACAAAACCATGGCCAATTAAGAATTTTTTTATGTCGCTTACAAATTTACTGTTGTAATACTAAACTATAAATTAAAGATCGATTTCAACTCTAAGACTTAACATACACACATGGTTTTGTAAATATTTACCGATATATATAATGCAATTACAGTTTTGATATGAACGTAATATAATGTTGAAAAACGTATTCCACTGCAAATCTAAATGTCGCTTCATTTATTTAAAAAATTTCAAGATAAAATTTTCAGCCGTAAAAGCGTTCCGAATACTTTTTGTAATGAATGTTAAACTGAATGTTAAATGTTAAAGAAAGTTTTTTTTATCCTATATTAAAAGAAATCAAACCACTTCGCGCAAAGAAATGCATGGATTTTTTTTTCATGCGAAATTATAGCACGTCGCTAAAAATCGATAACGTTGACTAGGTCTTGCCCTCCCTACCCACATCCGAAATATAGCTTTGGAGTGTTGGCAGTCAACCTTGACTGGTGCTTTATCCCAACCCTACCTCCACCTCACGAAACAGAGTTTTTGGTGTTTGGCAGTTTTCCTTTTTTTTTCTTCTTGTCAAACTTTTCCAGTGAGGATCAAGTTCTGGAAAATAGATAACCTGTACCTGTTTATTTTGGAAATAAATATTCTGTCCTGTATAAAGGCATGAACATAAATAATCAGATTCGACAAAAATTTAACCCACTCTCCACCCCCCCCCCCCCCTTTCAGAGTAAAATGGCCGTTCCATAAGCAATACACTCACACAAACAAGATTCATACGTATATTTAAATTACGTGTACCTAAAAACTACGACTAATGATTATGAATCACGGCCACCAATCGCTCTAACTCATATCCAAATCATATGAAAAGGATTGAAATGTGATTTTGGGTCGAATCACATTCCTTGTTTTGTAAAAAATGGTCAAAATACAAGAAAAAGAGCTCAACTTACCTCCGAAGCGAATGCAAAAAGTCCCTCCAGTGCATATCCGGAAGTCCTGATAACGAAATCCTTTTCATATCATTTGGATATGAGTTAGAGCGATTGGTGGCCGTTTGAATGGCACCATTAGAAATCCAAAAGATAAAACTTTTTCTAACTACTGAAGAGAAAAAGTCAACTTTATTTTGCTTTAACCTTTGCTTAAATTTAGAAAGTGCAAAAGACTACCAGAATAACTTTAAAACAAGATGTGTCTGTGAAACACTGATGCCCCCGTATGGCAACTTATAGTGAAGGTTAAACTTTCTCAAGTGCAAATCAAATATGTTGGGTACCCAAAATAAGGTATTGTCTCGAGGAATATACCAGTGAAATATGAAAGCCCCAGCAGCAACCATTCAATAGATATGGAAAAGGTTAAAGTTTTTTCAAGAGTAAGTCAAACATCAAGGTCAAATGGTCAAAATTAATGGTGCCCAAGGAAATACCTTCTCCCAAAAAATACACAGGTGAAATATGAAAGCCGAAGCACCAATCGTTCAAAAGTTATGACCAAGGTCAAAGTTTTTTCAAAAGTAGGTCAAACTCCAAGGTCAAAGGGTCAAAGTTGTTGGTATCCAAAGGAAGACCTTGTTATAAGGATTACATATGTGAAGTATGAAAGCCCTGACACTAACCGTTCAAAAGTTATGGCCAAGGTTAAAGTTTTTCAAAAGTAGGTCAAACTCCAAGGTCAAGGTCAAAGGGTCAAAGTTGTTGGTATCCAAGGTAAGGTCTGTTTTCATACTTCACATGTGTATTTCTTGTGACAAGACCTTTCTTTGAATACCAACAACTTTGACCCTTTGACCTTGAACTTGGAGTTCGACCTACTTTTTTGAAAACTTTAACCTTGGCCAAAACTTTTGAATGGTGAGAGCTAGGACTTTCATACTTCACATGTGTATTTTTTTGACAAGATTTTCTTTTTGGTACCAACACTTTTGACCCTTTGACTTGATTAAATTAGAAAGTATTAAAGTCTTAGCCACAACTATTCAAAAGTTATGGTCAAAGTTATAGTTTTCAAAATAGTAGGTCAAACTCCAGGGTCAAGGTCAAAGGATCACAGTTGTAAATATTCAAAGAAAGGTCTTGTCACAAGAAATACACGTGAAGTATGAAAGCCCTAACATCAACTGTTCAACTGTTCAAAAGTTATGGCCAAGATTACTGTTTCCTAAAAGTAGGTCAAACTCCAAGGTCAAAGGGTCAAAAGTGTTGGTATCCAAAAGAAAATCTTGTCAAAAAATACACATGTGAAGTATGAAAGTCCTAGCTCTAACCGTTCAAAAGTTATGGCCAAGGTTAAAGTTAAACATCGAGTAACTCTTTTTCCCTCACGATACACAGCTCTAGTTGAGAGTACCTCATCCTATCATCTTTGTAACTCAAATTCCAATCATAGATTTTTTTTTAAATTTTTTATTTATTTTTTTAGCGATTAAATCGGAACAGGCAAGCACCTTGAATATTCTGTTTTGGTTCTACAATTATTTTCAATTAGATATTTCGGAATGTTTCTCATGTTTATCTACAAATCAAACAAATTGCGCGAGACGGTACGAAAGATGTCGCGAAGAAAAACAAATATGGCGGAGATACATCGAAAATATTGAATGCTGCCAAGTATTTGTGATCCATATTTCAGGTTCTGAACATTTTACGATAGAAAATTATTTCTGAGAAGTATTCTAGCTTTATTTTTTTTTTAAATTATATTTGCGTCAGTGCTATTAAGTGTGCACACTATTTATTTACATCGCTCGATTTTGGCCATATCTTTGACAGTGTTTGAGCACAGTTCATATTATCTTTGATAATAATTCGAGTGATAATGTTGAAGCTTATTGTTACATTACAGATATGTATTCTAGAGCTCATCTATTGATAGAAAATGAATACAAGAAGCTTCTTGAAGATCAACCATGGGTAAAGTATGGCTTTTGTAACGTGATAATGTTCAAGAATAATTAAGGCAGATATGTTCTATTTACAATTTATTTACATACATGTATATGTATATACCAGGGCTTAATCGAAACTTTTATATACAGAGTCCTGTACCCTTCCAATTGGGAATTTTAATCCAAAGCAGTAAAATTTGGAATAAATTGATGTCTTATGTTTTACTGTAGAATACGGAGTGAGATTTTAGGTTTATTCTCTATTCGTATCTTTAGAAATCATTAAAATCTCAAAATTCAAGTTATTTTATATAAGAAGCACTGAAAAATTCAATCTGCCTCTCATTTGAAAAAGCGCCAATTTTTAAATTAGACATGGGTAGACTTTATGGATCCCCAGATGCACAAGATCTGCGGGGTCATTGCACTATGATGTAAGATTTATGTCACTCAACTGATAAGGGTTAGTCTTGCACACTACTTGACTGGTTATAGGGTTAGTCTTGCACCCACCTGAGAGATTGGGGTTAGTTCTTGCACAAGTATTCAACTGATTAGGATTAGTCTCACATCCATCTCAGAGATCAGAGTTAGTCTTTGCACATTACTTGACTGATTAGAGTTAGTCTAGCATCTGCCTGGGAGATTTGGGTTAGTCCTCACATATCATCAGAGAGATAAGGGTCAGTGTCTTGTTCTTTTAGATTAATTAAGAAATTCAGTTGCATTTGTATTTTCTGCAAGATATTATTTCAGTAAACAGAGAAGCTGCATAAGTACATGTATCATTCATTTTTAAGGGTATAGAAGCCATACCTTTACAAGATGACAGTATTTTTGAGTGGGTAGCTAAAGTAAAAGGACTAAAAGATTCAATATGGGATGGTATGTAACATGAAATAATTTTTTTATATAGATTCTTAAAAATGATAAATGCAGAATGTTTGTATTATTCTTTTTAATGAAATGATTGCATTGTTTATTTATTAATGGAACTTTTATTATAATTGAAAAAGGATGGTATTTTCTAGCTTAGTAGGCCCATATCTACATAATATATATTTCAACTTCAATTTTTAAAGTATGAGTGATGATGAATAATTTCTTGAAGATTCCATTATATAAAATTGTAATTTCCCAGTGATAGGAATAAATTTAAGTGTATTTTAGTGCTCCAGATAGATGGGAAAATATACAATATCTCATTGATTATATTTATTATCAGTCCTTTTCCTGAAGATACGAAAGGATGATACCAAAAGAACATGTTTTATGAATTGTGATATTTATTTCATTTATTAATGTTCATTGCAGGTGGTGTATTCAGACTTTACATAAAATTTGATGAACATTACAATATTCGTCCTCCGGAAGTGTGTTTTCATACCATTCCTTATCATCCAAATGGTAAATACTAAGATTATTTGCACCTGAAGTAGTTTTTGCATATTATGTACTCTTCTATAAAAGTGAAAAATTATCATGAGGATTTTCTGTATAGTTGTCTTATCCTAAGTGCTCTATTATCTTGCCTTGCTTGTGCTCCTCAAGATTCCCCCCTCCTCTCCCAAGATTTGCATTGGGTACATGTATATATATTGTTTCCATATATAACAAAAATATTCGTTATCCAAATAAATAATAAATAAAGAGAGAAAATCAGTGGGAGAGAAGTATGAAATATTTGGCTAAGCCAGGAATAACAAGAAACTCACAAGGTTTATACATGTATATGGCATTAAAGAAGCGTATTTCACTAGATGTCTCAAAAATGTTTGTAGGCACTGACATTGAGTACTGATTTTTTTACTTAGTTTACTAATCAAAGAAGTGTTGCAATTGATAATTTATAAAATATTAATTTGTTTACAGTTGAAATGATAACAGGAAAACCATGCATTGACTTCTTAGATGACTTTTCGAAATGGAAGGATTCTTACTCCTTGTCTTTCATCCTTGTCACAATACAGGTTTGTATACTGTATTTGTTACATGTACCTTACCTAAAATCATATTTTACATACATGTATTTAAGAAGATTCTGAATTAAGATTACATCTCTTTTTTTTCTAGCATTTACTCTCCAACCCAAATTTAGACAGCCCTGTGAATCAAGAAGCTGCAGAGATGATGCTTCATTCACCTAAGGCCTATAAGCAAATGGTGCTGGACTGTGTCACAGCTAGTCAGAGAGTGGAAGGTATCCGATCTATCAGCTGTTCTGGCAATTCTGAGATTTAAATATTCATTGTACCCTAACCTTTCTAAAAAAATATTTGTATATTGATAGCAACATCCATTCTTCTATCCATCACAGTATTTTCCTCATTTTCAGAACTTTTAAATTTTAAGTGTTTTGGAGCATTTCTGTTTATTTCTAACTATAATCTTATTTTGACTATTCTTTCAAAGATGTTGTATAATACAGCTATAGTTTGTGTGCTGTACATATGACCTATATTTTCATGATGAGCAATTTCTATCTCCATACCCAAGCACTTGTAATACCACTGTTGAACAAACTTGTATGTTTAAAACTGCCAAGGATGCAGGAAATATTGTAACATCAGTTTTCAGTTACATCTTATTGCAATTTTCTTAATAGAGGGTCATTCTTTCTTTGGCAAAAAAACCCCTTTGTTCATATATCATAAAAGTGAAGATTAGTTAGGGCTAGATTTACCATTGTTTTAATTTTTTTTTCAAAAGTAATTAATTACTGCTGGGAATGTAAACATAAAGAGAAATCATTGTTCTATTTATTGTTTATGACAACTTGGAATGATATGCACATTCTTTGTTGTTCTGTTGATTTATTTGAATGTTTATAACTTGATCCCAACCATTTTAACCAAACAGCTGGGGTAACTCCACATCAGGACCTAGAATCTCGGGTCAGATTTGTCACACCAGATGCACAGAGGAAACATTACACAGGAACCACAAGGACCGCTAATGCTGCTGTCACACGCCTGTCCTTTGATGATTATCATGCAACCTGGAGTGGAATTGCTACCTCTAAACCTACCATGGATACTCCTAATCCTTGTAAGAAAAAAATAGAATAAGAGGAATTGGCTGGAAAGTGATTTGTTTTTATATTTTTTCACATACATTTACATAGAAAAACTTTGGAGTGTGTTACACAAATTTTGACAGGTTTTAAAGAGTTTAATATTTTATTTTGCTATTGTAATCGACCCAAGGGATGACATTCTTTGATTGCTTGCCTATTTTGAAGTACATGTGTATTAAGTAAAATTCAATCATGTTTTAAAGCTAAATTGTCCTTTCTATAAACAAAATTTCTGAAACATAAAATGAATAGAAGGACTTCTCCAATTCTACAATTTAAAAGGTTAGGAGATGAATTTTCATTACTTAATGCTCTATATTTTACAGTATTGGAGGCAATAAAAGATAAACCTGGACTACAAAAAGCACATTTAGGAGTTCCCCAAGAAGAGATTGATGAACAAATGAAAAGACAACTCGAAGAGTAAGAAGAAGAGTTACTTCCCTTTAAAAGAATTTTCATTCTTTTCTCAGAATTTATTTCTAGATGATGAAACAGTACTAAACCTTTAATATTTCAGACATAATGCACTCATGTATGGAAACTTTAAGGTAAAGGCTAATGCTGATGAGGAGAAGGCAGCAAAATTGGCAAAATTAAACAGAATGAAGAAGATTTATCTGCCACCAAGACTCTCCCCAAGTGAGTTATAAAGAGTGCTTCAACATCAGTAAAGTGAATGTGAAAGTTGATGACACTTTAAGATCCTGTCCTTTTTATTTTCAGTTATGCACTTAGGGAGATTTGCTCCAGTCAATTGCTTTAGCTTGTGGTTCTTTTGTTTTACTTTTCTTGCAATCCTAATTAATTGAGGAAAAGGATGATTTCTAGGCAATTAAATGTTTTGTCCTGTTCTTGATTTTTATTGTTTTCAGGATTTAAGAGATTGAACAGTATTCCTTATCCTCACCTTTTTCATGTATCCAAACACATCAAGCCTTTTTATAACTAGAGTGTTCCAACGGACCCATGTGTCACCTGCTCTGTAGCTTCATTAATGATAACTAAATCTAAGAGTGGTCAACTTTTTATTTACTGTTAGCATGATAGTTCATGCATATCCCTGCAAAGAAAAAATGGCATCCATGGATAGTTACATGTAAGACTGTGATAAAATTTGACAATCAAAGAAAATATGGTTCCCTAACCCTCAACACGCTCAAAAGAATAATTAAATTGAAATTATGAAAATAACTATTTATCATTAAAACATGTTTCCAACAATCCACCAAAAGAGATTTCAAGGTCAAGTGAATTATAATGCTGGTATTTTTCATAATGTCTTATAACAAATGATGCACATGCTGAATAACATAGACTTTACTCTTAAATGTCGAAAATATGCTGTATATCTGTACTATGAACTTTTTTGAAAAGTAGGTCAGTGGTCAAGGTCATGAGGTTGATAATGATGATAATTTACAAAAGCCATAGTGCCAAGCAGTATATATGCAAAATTTCAAATCCATACCTCTTACACTTCTCAAGATATAGGGTGCGACAGATGGCTAGACAGACAGACGCGAGGTAAAGTGATCCCTTAGTACCGCTTTGCTCTGCAGGCCACACAAAAACACGACTGCATATTTAGATTAAACTTCCTTAGTGATATTTTAATAAGAGAATCTAAATTCAAACATGATATCCAAGATTCCATGTAATGTTATGTTTTATGTCCTGTTACATGTTGTACCAAGCTATTTTTGACATACTTTAATTGATTCATAGAAATTTTCATTTGATAAATTGCATTGATAAACAAAAGAATTAATCTTATTTTAGGTAACTGTAGCATAAAACAATCCTGTGTATCATTAGATTTATTACTCTATATGCTTAAATAGTTAGATTGATAAAAACTTTAAAGATTTCCATTTAATTAATAATATTAATATGCCACCTGCTACTTTTTCATATTCTAGTATTAATTATCTAAGGGTCAGATGTGCTTCTCCTTATGATTCTTATAAAACCAAATGTAGTTTTGCATGCATGTTTGAATGCTCCCATCACAGAATGACCCTATGAAATAGTTATCAATCAACAATTATTATCTGTAGATGCTGAGTGAATCTAAGTTTTTAGCTCTATGTGGGAAACTTTCACAGGCCTCTAAGTGACCTCTAAAATTAAGGCGCCAGCTGGCGCCTCATCAAAAAAATTTAGTCGCCACTGCAAATTTTTAGTCGCCAGGCAATTCTTTTAAAGGTGCCAACTTTAAAAGTTAAAAGTAATCAATATAGGGACATGTGCTTACTAAAAACAAAAAGTTACTAAGAAAACATATGTCCATTGCTAAAAAATAATTTCCTCTTCTTTTAAATTTCTTCTTCTTCAGAAAAAAAAAAAATTGTTAAAAATGTTAAAATTTCTGGAATTCAACGATCGCCAAGTCAATTTAAAATGGTTGCCAATTTGGTGACTTAGGAAAAAAATTTATGCGCCAATCAAAATTAAATTAAATTAATCACCAATTAGGGCCCTGTTTCAGATCATGATTTTTGTCCATTGACCTACTTTCAACAGAGTTGCCTGCATGGCACAGTGGTTAGAGCGTTTGCTCTAGAGTTGCGTAGTAAGGAGTTGATCCTTACGTTGCAGGTTCAAATCCCACTGTGGGATGTGGAGACCGGTCTTTCAGATAAGACCGTATAAACCGAGGTACTGTGTCGCAGTAAGTGCTGGCATGTAAAAGATCCCTCTGCTCAATGGCCCTGAATGCCAAGTATATATACAAAATTTGCAGCTCTCCACCGGCAAGTGGTGTAGTCTCCGTATGAGTGAAAAATTCTCAAGAGGGATGTTAAACAATAATATACAAACAAACTTTCAACAGATATTGCACATGGACATAGAAAAATTCCAAATACTCATGTTTTTTTCCTTCTTTAATTTATAATAATTTGGACTAATGAATGCAAAAGGGCCGGTTTTAAAGGGCATTACAGTATATCTTTCTTGTTTAGAAATGGATGTTAATTGTTTTCAAGACAATACCTTTAAAAAATGGAATGTGCACTAATAGAAAGCTTGCTTCAGATTGCTTTGAGGTCAATCTTTAATCTTTGAACAGTTTTTTTATACTATATATAGTTCATTTTTACTTTCCTGGGATGTCTTTTACAGTCATTGAGTCAAAGTACATGACTTTAGTGCTAAGTAGCTAAACATTATTTAAGGTTAGGATGTTTTCAAGTCAGTGGGGATTTGTTTGATGAATATCTAGTGCCCATATTAAATAGATTATGGATTCACAGGGTCAAAGAGCATGACTTCTCCTCTCCTGAAAAAGAAAAACTTTTTCTTAGTAGACTGTACATGCTGTTTTGAAGTTCACTTGAGAAGTGGTTCATGAGGATAACAAAAATGTCAAGCTTTGACAAAAATTGCTCTAATTACGATAATGCTTTGCATAGGCATGTGAGCTATAGAGCTTGTGATGAACTCTAAACTTTTTAGAATATGACGCAAGGGGTATTCATTACAAACTGATAAATGCACATGGAGTGGGGCACAACAGACTAACCTTTGACTTTGTTTATTTTGTTATTCATTCTTATGGTTGTATCTCAAGCATTGATATCTCAAATAACATGTCGAAGTAAGTTTTAAAGTCCCAAACTGCATCTCTTTATGTACCGGGTATTATAATCTCTATCTCAAACTCTCAGATATCTTGAATTTTTTTTTCTCAGACACATCAAGTTCAAGATAATGAGCTTTGACTGTATGTATATTTAAACTTCATATGTATCCACGTAATATTTACCCTCAAAAACTTATTTTATCAGCTCCATCAGTTCAACCCCCACCAACCAAGGAAAGGAAAGAGGAACCCTGGGAAGATGAAGTGGACAACCTTGTTGAATGGTCGTCAAAGCTTGATGCTGATGAACTAGACATTTAAATGCTTTGCATTTGCTGGCAAAATGTGATATAAAAGCAATGTTTCATGACATTTTGATATCACTATTAATATGAATATTAAGAAGAGAAATTAATTTGTATGTACAGGTATGAAGTAAAATTAATGAATGCAACAGAGGTAGCAGAAATATAGTATGAGTTGTCCTTTACATCAAATTTTATTATTCAGGCAGTAAATGAAACCCTGTCACCAAAAATTATTTGTTTAATGTGTGTCTAACTCAGTGGAATCAATGTTTATCAAATAAAATGAACTTTTACTGTGGTTTCCATGTTCATGATTATTCAAGAATTATAATTAAAAATACTAAAGGAGGATTTGTTACAGCTTTGGTTAAGATTCTTTGTGCATATCGTAGTCCCCAAAGGAAGGGATGGGCTTTAGATTAGAAATATTGAAATATTGAAAACATTTTTAACAACTTTGATCGCACATTAGAAGCTAGGTTTCATTGAAATATTTATTCCCAAGAAAGTGAAATTTTAAAACTGATATGCCACTGGCATTCACATGCACTTTTTTAATTTTATATTAACTACAGTAACAGATGTCCAAAAGTTTAGTCCATGATGCAGTTTTTCAATTTCGAAGTTTATAGTTTTTATCTTTTTCTAACTACATGATATTTTCATGTCATACATATAATTTTATCATATATTTTGTATGAATCCCTTCTCATTAAGCACTCATTAATGATACAACTTTCGTAAATCAAGCACCAGGTTAACCATTCATGATACAAATCCACTAATAATCTTATTTGGAAAGTAATTGTCATCCATGATGACATGCATTTCAAAGGTGGATCCAGAGGAAGGGATATGATTTGCTGTGTTCTAGCATAGTAAAGTAAGCTGAAAATAACTTTGGACCCACCCCACCCCCCAGGAAAGTGGTTTGAAAAGTTTAAAAAAGATATGTACATGAAGAAAAGAGTTTTTTTCTGTGAAAGCATATCCCCCACCTATATCCATAATCTTTTTTTTTTACTGAAAATGATACCCCTCCCCCAAAAAATCCATGGATCCAACCTTGTATTAAGTTTAATTTTAATTCCCTTAAACAATGTTTGGTTGTTGTTTGGGATATAGGAATCACCCTGCACATCTGTCCTTCTGTCCATGAAATCTTTTCTGGGCTATAACTTTGTAATCATTGGAAGGGTGTGTCTTGACCTTAACCCAGGGTCACTCCAACAAGTTAAAGGTGACTTGAAGAAATAGTATAAAATTCTTGTCCGATCTACATTTTTCTATGGACAATCATTTGAAGTTCATACTTCATGAGATTGCTTATGATCTGAAAGTGTGTCATGACCTTGAATCAGGGTTGTTTGATCAAGTTTAAGGTCACTTGAAAAAAAATGTTTAATTCCTGTATTGACCATATGTTGTAATGGAGATTTTTAGAGACTTACACTTATCACAAATATTGTATATGATCTGAGGGTATACATGTATTGACTAAGACCCAGGGTCATCCCTGCAAGTTCAACATCACTGTGTTATGTGTTCTGTCTATAACTCTCAAACTGAGGCTTATTAGAAGTTGATATATGACATGATTGCTTATGACCTAAGTGTGTGCTATGATCTAACCCAATGTCATTTTGGCAAATTCAAGGTCACCAGCAGAAAAAGTATTCAGTGTGTCTAGTTCATAAGTTTCTAATAAATAAACATTTGAAGTTCATACTTCACACAAATATTACTAATGTCTTTAAATTGTGATATGACCTCGACTCAAGGTCATTCTGGCAATTTCATTGTCACTGGTAATAAAAATATTATTCTTTTTGTCAGAAGTTGAAACTTCAAACAAAAATTATTCATGAGCTAAAAGTATGTCATAGCCTTGACCTAAGGTTATTATGGCACAGACAGAAAAGTGTGACATTCATGTCAGATATCTTTCTAATGGAGAAACATTGGATGTCCAAATTTCACGCGAAGATTACTCATGACCAGAGGATGAGTCTTTTTTTAAAAACTTTTTTGGCAAGTTCAAGGTCACATTTACAAACTGCAAATGGACACTTTCAACAATTTTTAAACCAGGGTCATTTTGGCAAGTTCAAGGTCACATTTACAAACTGCAAATGGACACTTTCAACTATTTTTCGACCTCTAGCTGTTGTGAGTTGTTATTTAAAATAAAGTCAAACTTCATTATCTTGAGGTCAATATGACCGAAAAAGTTCAAAATATTAGAGTTATTGAGGTTATTAAAATATATATGGAAAAAGTTGTTGTGACTTCCACCTCAATTTAATTTGTCTAGAATTTGTTGAATTTAAATAGGGAAGTACTAGTATATACTTAGCGTATAGTTCTTTGATTAACGTTTATTGAATAAACAAAGAAAAACGATTAAATGGTCTTATTTCAGAATATTGTGTAACTATTAAAGGTGTCGGTGTACTGAAAAATATTGTAGTGTATATTTTAGACTTCAATACAACTGCTTTCAATGTACCTCAAATAAAAAAAAATGCGCTCATTTTTTCCCTGTTTTTCCATCATTTACCTTTTTACACTAACAAAATTAGGATTAGGGCGTTAATAAAGTGTCACATCATAAAGGGTAGATGTTGACTTTCAAATGTGAGCACTTGAGTTAACTTTAGTGATGTCGGTGCTTTGAAATAACCCTTGAATTTTATATTAGAGCGAAAATAAACACGGAAATCATTCAAAAAATTTTACTAACCCACATTCATATATATAATTATATACATATATTTAACGGAAACCCTTTATTTCTTTGTCATTCTTTTGGTGCTCGGGAAGTGTGTACGAAGTAAGTATTTGTGTGTTATATAAGCGATTCTTAAACTATTTACCGTTACTTTTATGTACTGTATTTTTCCTGTTGTTAATTCTCAATTACAAGACTTCCAACGTGTTAAAAAATAAATTAATATGCTAGCTACATAATTATTCCGGTAAAACAACACCATTTTTAATATTGCGTAGATAAGGAATTGTTTTATTGTTAGAGTTTATTATTATTTTGGTTCCCATCATCCAGTTCTTAAATTGTTTAAGATGAAGGTCGTGTTAATATCGAAAACAAGACGTTTACGAAATAAAAGAGTTAAAATCCTTCCTGATCATAATACAAGTCTATAATATATAGTGAAACAAGACAAACGAATTAATGAACCAAAAAATATACAGACAAATAGACAAAGAAATAAATAAATTAACAGGAACATGAACACCACTTGGACATTTTTTTACCTTCTTGGGCTTCTAAATCTAATCCTGTAATGTTTTCAGCAATTCTAATTACTAATGTAAAAAATAATGATTGATATCTGTTTAGCCCGTGATTTTGTAAGTATGTAAGTTTGCACTTGTATCTAAATCATGTACACCGCCCTTTCCACCCTCAAGTTTAATCTTTTAACGTAATGGGGAGTGATCGAGAAGTTTAGTTGAAGTTGTTACAAAGACAAAATAAGGAAAATGTACAAGCTTTAAAGCCAATTGAGTCTTTAGATAAAAGAAGTTTAACGTTATAATTCGAAAATATATGCTTTTTTTTTATTAAATAAAAGTTGATAAAAAAGTGTTATAATCTTATTATATTTTGTATTTTTTATTTCAGTAAAATAAAAAAGATGGCAGAAAATTCTTCAATGTTAGCACAAGATCCTGTGCGATGTGAATTCTGCAGAGCAAGTAATGCGGAGTATGTTTGTAAGACCTGCAACGACCGCATCTGTGCGATCTGCGAAAAGATTCATCATAACATTCACTCCAATTCAGAAATAAAGTCTACAAAACTGGAAAAGGTACAAGGGTTCTGCAAGCATCACTCCAGAAATAGATACGAGGTTTGCTGTTATGACTGCCGAGTACCAGTATGTACAACATGTATTATAGATTTCCATAACAAACATAAAATGGTTAACATGTCCGTCTTGTTCGAGGAAGACAAGGCTGCTATTGTAGACGATATAGGGGAGATGAGAAGCAAAATTTACCCCGAAGTAGAACTGATAGTTCAAGCTGCAAAATCGACAAAGGAAAGTATTCCATCTAGATGTCAGATGGTCGTACAGTATCTAAAAGGCAGGGCCGAAAAGGTAAAGGAACAAATAGACAAGTTCTTCGAGGAGGCTGTAATCGAACTTCAAGAAATGGAGAAAAAAGATGTTAAAGCATTTCAGGAACACATAGCTCAAATTGATGGTATCCTGTCAAGGTTACAGAAAACAGCCAGCCTATATGAAGGCCAACTGCATACAAGATATGAATCTGACTTAATTCTATTTCGAAGAGCTAATCCGGGAATTTCTAGTTTTAGGTCTATTCCAGACACTCTTAAGTACTCTCCTCCCTTCTTCAAAGGCGGTAAAATGGACAAAGCAAAGCTAAGCAAATTTTTTGGCGAACTTCAGTCGTCATCAATAAAACACACTAAAATAAGAAAAATAAGACAAAAGACAAAACGCGCAGATACCAAGGCAGCTCTGCTAAGTAGTTTGGAGAACATCTTGTCAATCCCAGCATCAAGCACTGTTCCTACCAAGGCTACTGACCAAACTCCGTCAAAACCTATCAGCAGGAGCACATCCATGACAAACTCAGCGAAAAGCGTGCAACACTTCAAAAGAAGTTACAGTGTTCTGACATCCGTGAACTGTGTGTCCCCAGCAAAGGCGTGGATAAGTGGACAGCATCCAGATATTAAACTGATGGACTTGCAAAGTGGAGAATGTGATACGATTTCCACGGACTGTGAGACAACTGGGCCCTCTGATTTGACCATTACAAAGGACTATGACATCATTTTCTCCGACTTTTATGACAGGTCAGTGAAGCAATTAACAATTGAAACCAAGGAAATGGTAGTAATTTTTCGAACTGACTGGAATCCAAAAGGTCTTTGTTGTGGAAAGGAGGATGAGGTGTTTGTGTGCCTTGTCGAAAACCAAAACGGAAAAGTTGCAAAATTCAAGAAAGGCGGAGAATTGTCACAAGAGTTCATAAATGATTTGGATGGGAACCGGCTTTTTGAACAACCAAGTTACATTTGCCAAAATTCCAATTTTGATCTCTGCATTTCCGACACAGGGAAACGCGCGGTCATTGTGCTAGATGCCAATGGCAATAAGAAATTTGAATATAGCGGAAGTGATGCTGACGGTCGTTCGCCGTTTGATCCTCGTGGCATCGATACCGAGGTTGGAGGTAACATTGTTGTAGTGGACTATGGGAACCATGAAGTCATTTTAGTAAGTGACAATGGAAAATTCCTAACGTGTTTGCTTGACCGAAGTGACGGGCTTTCCCGACCCTGTGATGTTAGCGTTGATGGCGAAAATAAGCTCTGGGTTGCAGAGTGTCGCACGGGAAGGCTGAAAGTGTTTCAATCGACATCATCAGAAATTTAACTAGGGATGTCAACGAATATTCGAACATTCGAATATTCATTCGATGAGTTTATATTCGAATATGAATTTAAAATTCGAATATTCGATGTTTTTTAGATTTCACAAAAAAAAGAGATAATAAATTTTAATTAGAACAATGCTGGAATCATCCCCGTTTTATTTACTAGCGATCCTCTTATTTCTTTCAATACTTTTTATATTATAGATCTTCTAAATTATTTCATTTTGAGTACGGTATAAAAGAAATAAACAAGTATCATTAATGTATAAGACAAAAAGTACTTTCAATAGTTTTATATGATCGGATTAGAATCGAGGGCATTGAAATGAAACTCTTCTTGAATGTCTAAGAGACACGTGAAGAGTGTACTTATAAAATTAAATTTTATTGATCATTGAAGTACATCTTTGATAGAATCAGCCTGTAATATTGTAAAGGGCTCAATTTCAGAATAATGCATCAATTACTTGATTATCTGGGGTTGTTTACATTCCTGAATTTTAAAATCATTATCGGGAACGTAATGACCTAGGAAAATTGTCTATGGAAGTGTTTGTTTATGTTTTCAAAACATTGTATAAAGATTATATTATATCTCTTATTAAGCAGATAATTGTAATTTATTCCGTGTTTTTAAATCTGAAGAGTAAAGATCAATCTTGCCCCTGGTTAGACGACTGGTTTGTCAGTTTGAGCTTGTACATACAAAAGCGTCGGAAGCAAATTGAAAGGGGGAGGGGCAAACCAACAACTAAAAAAACGTTTGGAGGGCTAAGCCCCAGTTTCCAATATCTATATTATGTCTATCTTTGCAAAACAAAGGGGGAGGGGGTTACCCACCCCCCCCCCCCCGGTTCCGACGCCTAAGACCGCGGAACATTAACTGGCAAAATTGGAAATATGCAGCTTACGTCATTTTCATCTGTTACAATCAAAACATTTAATAATAGATAATGGATTGGGCGGGTACAATTCTGCACGGACGTCCGAGAAAACATTGGATTGAAATTCTAGTTTGAAACTCATTTTCAATCCACCTGAGCTGTTTAAAAAGCAGACTGTGAATTTATGATTCAAAAGACAAATAATTTCAATTTCGGAATATTTTGAAGTTTAAATATATAAATCAGTATTTCTGACCAGTGTTTATAAAGAAATATAAACGGACAAATATTTGAATTCTATTAGGTGTGTGCATGCATGTGTTGGGAGGGGGGGGGGGGGTAGAGGGGGCTGAACGATCTTGGAAATAAAAAAGGAAGTCTTTTTTTTATTTGGACAACCCATCCCTGTTTTTGATTGTCAAACATTTTTCAGTGAAGATAAAACTAGAGAAAATACCTCTTGTCATCTTAGAAATAAATATATTTTGTCATGTGAAGGCATGATCTGACTCGACAATCCCCCCCCCCCCCTTTTTAGAATCAAATAGCCATCCCATGAAAAAATAACCACTGTCTTCTATGACTTTTACGTATAGGCTAAAAACTCATATAAACAATGATAAATATGAATTTCAAACAACATGTACTTGGGAATTGAAATTATTTGGCTTTGGATCATAAATTAACACTCTGCGTTTTAAACAGCTCAGATGGATTGAAAATGAATTTCAAACTAGAATTTCAATCCAATGTTTTCTCGGACGTCCGTGCCGAATTGTACCCGCCCATTTCATTGTCTATCATTAAATGTTTTGTCTGTAACAGATGGAAAAGACGTAAGTTGTATACTTCCAATTTTGCCAGTTAATGTTCCGCGGTCTTATGATAAATATCATTTGTTAAGATAATATTTCGGTTGTATACACTTAAATGAATTATCTATTTTAAACACTGACAAATATCAAATGTAGAATTCCTTATTGTGTACCTACAAAAGTCTACATTCAGTTTTACTTCCAAAATACCGACGCAAAAACCTGCCATTAGAGTATGATGATGTACATTTAAAATAATCCAGATTTTATTTCTTTTATCGAATATTCGAATATATTCGAATATTTTCATTGAATATTCGAATATGAATTATTGACAAAATTGACATCCCTAAATTTGACGTTTAAGGAATTGAGTTAACAGTCGTGTTATAAACAAAGCTGCTTGCACAGAATAAACTTTCCTTGCGCAGAGTAACCTCAATGTGGGCCCCCTCCTATTAGAAAGAATTTTTCTTTTTTTTTCTTTTTTATACCAGGACATCACCAATCATATTTCAAAAGATGATTTGGCTGCTGTATTAAGTGCAAGAGGAGTTCTGGAAACACGGCTTTTGTATAAAAAAAGTTTTTCGACCCCAAATTTGCCCCATGGATGAAAATGAATATTCTGAAACCTTATTTCACATCTATACAGGACATCACCATTCATATTCCAATTTATAAATTGTAAGAGGAGTTTTGGGAAGAAGAGAAACGGGTGGACCAGGCCCCGGGATCATGAAACATCTTGAGCTTAAGTCAAAATCTTTATGTTCTATTTAGTTTTTGTAAAAGTCAATCAAAGCAAAATTAAAATATTTTTCAATATTGCTTTACAAAAGTGTTGTTGTCTGCAAATTTAGAGATAAATTCAACAATTAATAAACATTTTACAGGTGATTGAAAATTTGACTTAAGTCTAAGTTTGTTTTATGATCCTGGGACCGGGATAACGACACTATACCCGAAATCTCCCTATAAAAAAACGGATGAAAAGGGTAACATACGAATAGAAAAAATATACAACACATGCATATAGAAAGAACAAAATCCGTAATAGAAGCACATAAGTGCTTGCCTTTAAATGTACTCTTCATATCTGGAATATGATGTCCTGTAAATGTGCGATAAGGTTTTGGAATTTTCATTTTCATCCTCAGAGCAAACTGGGGATTGGAAAACGACGTTTTTTTCCCCATAAAAACCTTATACCGAAAAATTCTTTAACATATCACTTTACGAAGTAGGCAAATTTTCTTTTAGAGTATGATTAGGTGGTGTTCTAAGATATTTCCATTTTCATCTAGTGGGCAATAATGATTGGAGGTTACGTTTTTCCTACAATAGCATGGTTATCAGATCTCTTCTTCTTAACATGTTGCATTTGGGCTATGATCGGTGATGTACTGAAAATGTGCAGCAAGGTTTCGGAATTTTCATCCCGAGATCCAACTAGGGGTAGGTTTTCTACATAAACTTTGTTCCCGTATTTCCTCTAACATTTTACACAGAAGCAAAGTCATTTTTGTGAAAACGACTGGTAGTGTCTGTACAATAATGTGTCGAATTTTCTTTTTCTCCAAAACTCTTCTTACTTTTTGCACTTATCCAATTCATCTTCTGGAAAATGGTTGGTTGTGCAGTAAGGTTTCAGAATTTTCATCCTCGGTGCCAATAGCTATAGGGGGTTGGAAGAAGGCGATTTAAAAAAACAAACAAACCTGGTACCCAGAACTCTTCTTACATTTTACACATAGCCAAATCATCTTTTGGAATATGATATGTTTCAGAGTCTTCATTTTCATCCTTGAGGAAATTGGGGGTAAAACAACGTTTTTCTAATAACCTGGTTCCCAGAATTCTATTTAGATTTTACGCAGCATAGGCGTCGGAAGCAAATTGAAAGTGGGGTGGCTAATTGAAAGTGGGGGGGGGGCTAAACCAGCGAGAAAAGGTAAGCCCCAATTTTCAATGCCTATATTATGTCGATCTTTGCAAAAAAAGTTGGGGGGGGCTAAGCCCCCCCCCCCCCCCCCCCCCGGTTTCGACGCCTATGCGCAGTAACCACAAAATCTTTTGGAATATGATTTGTGATGCCCTGTAAATGTGCAGTAAGGTTTTGGAATTTTCATTTTCATCCCGAAAGCAAACTGGGGCCGGTCGGAAATGACGATTTTCTAGAAGAAGAAATACAGACCTGTTCCCAGAGGCCCTACATTTTACACAGTAGCCAAATCTACTATTGGAATGTGCTTGTTAGTGTCTTTAGGTGTGCAAATAAGATTTTGGAATACTTGTATACTTTTCTTTCTTGGGTTCAATTAGGAGCCGAAAAACGGGTTTCTATAGAAATGGGCCCGAGTGTCACTTGTTATACTCGACTGCCCGTCTGTCTACTTCCTAAAAATCAGCTTCTTGAATTACAATATGATTGATGGTGCCATGTAGATGTGCAAAAAAGTTGCAGAAGTTTAATTTGGGTCGAAAAGTGACGCTTTTCTTTTCTTTTTTCCCTACAAACACGATGTTCTCAGAACTTACAGAAGTACGAAGGAAACTACAAATAGGGGCAAACACAGTGTATAGCATCTACTTCTCTCTGCATTGAAAGTGATGGAATATTGCTCTGTCGTCTCGATTTGTTTCTATAAAGAGACATTTTACATAATTTTGCACATATATATATCAGCCTTAAAAAAATATTTACCATTTCTTTTAATGGATGGTTTGATTAGGAATAAAATATGAAAATTAACACTGCTGCTTATTGCCCTCCTTGTGTTTTTCCCCAAAAGAAGTGCATACAAAAGGTTGTAGAAACATATGTAATTATAACAAAAGGTTGTAGAAACATATGTAATTATATCTGCACTCTCTATAGAAAGTTCAGGCATATTCTGGTCTGTCTGTCCGTCTCTCACAGTATTTTCTTCCTCAAACTGCTCTTAAATATTTTACGATAAAGCCATCTCATCTTTTAGAATATGATGGATGGTTTCCTTTAGATGTGCGATTTTCATAGTCAACTGGAAGGCAAATGGGGATCAAAAAACGATATTTTTCTACAAAATCTTCTTCCTCTGCGCCTCTGTCATTTTTAGCATACTTAGTCAATTCATATTTAAGAATATGATATACGTGGTGTCATACAGATAGGCAGTAGAATTTACACGCGGGGGATGGGGGTGGGGGATATTTTGGGTCGAAGAACAATGTTTCTCTATAAAAATCTTGTTCCCAGAACTCTTATATTCTACATAGTAGACAAATCATCTTGTTTTTATGATTGGCGGTGTCCCGTAGAAGTGCAACTTCACTTTCACTCTGGAAGTCAATAGGGGTTCAAAAAATGACCTTTTTTTTCTTTTACGAAAGGCATGGTTTCTAAAAACCCTCGTATTTTTTATGCAGTGGTCAATTCACCTCACAATCTTGAAATAAGATTAGGGATGTCCTTCGGTTTTATAGGGGAGGGGAGGCCAATTGTCGTAAAAGACATATCTCTAGAACGCCTCTTACATTTTCAACTGATATGCAATAAGCTTTTGCAATTTTCTTTTCCATCCCTGAGGCCATTGGGGCCGAAAATTTTATTCCTTAATTTTTCAACACGGAAACTTTCTTTCCAAGACTCCTTTTTAAACAGAACTTATACTTAAATTCTTTAGTTTCAAACTGATAATGCCAATTTAAAAGACCCATGTGAACACACATGTTCATCTGAGCATTTTATGCTCAATTTGAAACATGTATATTTATGTAAATTACGAAATAAATATTATTAATTCTTCACTAGTTACTCAGATACAAAGGAGAATAAATTCAGAAGCAATCACTTACATGCGAGTAATACTGTCTTATGACAGCATCTACTTAAAAAAATACAGCTTACCTCTGTGAATATTATCTATAGGTAAGACAAGTCTAAAAGGCCTTTTTTAAACTAATGAAGGGACCCTGCTACAAAATTTAAAAAAAAATTTAATCTATTCTTGTATCAAGAAAATAAACATAATTATCATTTGAACATAAAAAGCAAGGCTGGTGGTGTTACATGTATTAATGCATTGTTCATTTAAGTTAGGACTAGGTCAAGTGCTTACAGTCATTCTCAAAGGGACCTGCTCCAAAAAGGACCTGTTCATAACCTTTAACTTGAGATGCACAGAACAGGGGTATAGCATGAAAACTTGACTTCATTTAGGGAAGCTAAAAATACACCAAGATTTTAAGACTTTAATGAAAACACATTCATGTTTAACAAGTAAAACAAGTTTCACTGACAAAACTATCTCAATTAAATACCGGTAAGAAAGCTCAAAGTACAGGATGGGAACCCAATCCACATTTAACTAGAAAACATGTACATGTATGACATAAAATCTACTTCCTGTTCTATTTCAGATAAACAGGAAACACTTGTAATTAAGTTAATATAGACTTATACGTAATGCCCATTGAAATGCTGCATTTAATACATATATAATTTAATACATATATAAAATCAACATTTGTCCAATTGGATAACGTTACTACCATGACACACAGTCTTATATGGAAATGAAATTTCCACTAAAACAGCTGAATACACTATTCCAATAGTAATTTAATGTCCGTGTGTAGATAGAACATTTTAACATCATTAAAATTAAATGTACAAGTTTGAAGTACATTACAATTCTGACACATGCTGTATACCATATAGGTGAAATAAAAGTTAGCATTACTATTTTATCAAAGATCTTGCAACTAGGAACAAATTTGGTCCCATAATTTTGTCAACTTAGTAACCTTATGTGTAAAACACACTCTCAAACATATATAATTCTTTCTTAATATCATTTATTTATTACTGAAATTGGTCTTTAAACTGAAAATCAAATGAAGAAACTGCAAAAACAGTGTTTGGGCAGAGATGCAAGTTCTCTTAGAAAATAATCCAAGTTCTTCATCATCAATGAGGCTGTGGTACATGTCCATCAACATAAAAGTTCCTTGTGGCCTTGGGGAGTGTCAACTCCATACCTTCCAGTTCTTTTGTCAAAATAATCTGACAACCTGCAATGATTCCCCATAACAAACTATATAAGGAATGATAAAAATATGGTATCTGATTCTTCGAATTTATTCAATACTGTGGATAAGTGGAAGTGCAGGAGTTGGAAGTCCCAACCACTTTTTATTTATAAATTTTAGCCTCAATTATCTTGAATCCTCTGATATCTTGAAGTTTTTATCAGCACTATCGAGTTTGAAATAAGGAGGTTTGACTATACTTCCTTGGGAAAGTTTCAAGTGCTCTCAAATTAAAGGAAATAATCACAAATTCTGTGATTTGTCATTGTAATAAATATTGTATCATACTTAAAGTTTCATCTTCTCACTTTAGATCAACAAGAATAGCAGATAATAAATCAAGAGGCCCATGGGCCTTAATGGTCACCTGAGTATCATGGGTTTTACAGGTTATGAACACTTTGGGCCCACCTGGAAATGGCCTTGTCTATCAGATTCATTTTACAGTCCTTTAAACACTGTAATATTTATGCAGCTTGCCTCCTATTAATTCAGGTGTAAAGAAAATAAGGTACTGTAAATAAATTTCAAAATATGATCATTTTAGTCCCTCCAAAATGGGCATGAACTTTTACAATTTTGGAAGAGGGCTTAGTGCTTTTTACAATCTTGCAAACATGATTTATGCCAGATATCCATGAGTAAATATGAAGATTTTCAAAGGTAATATATTTTTAAAATATGATCAACTTAGCCCTACCCAGTGCAGCCTGAATGTTGGAGCCATTCAACAATGAATTTTCAAATTTTGGTGAAGGGTTATAGATTCACTGTAGTCATAAAATCAAGATGCCCACTAGATCTCCTTTAGAAACAAGAGGCCCAAGGGCCTTAATGGTCACCTGAGTATAATAAAACAATTTAGAGGATCCATAAAGTATAAAATAAACTGATAGATGAAGCTTTGTTGTTAAAACTATAGAAGAACTTTTTGTATTATACAATAAAAATTCTTGCGTAATTCACTTATTCTATTAACCTTTCAAATGCATCATTTACAGTGATTAATTATCAGAAGTGAATGGCAAAGGGGAATAACTTAATAGAGCCCTGGTCAGGACCAGAACACTTGACCAAATAGTCCAGATGTTAAATGAAGTGCCCCGCCACAGCATGATATGCCCGTCAAATATTGTTCAATTATCACAAACATTTTAGAGTGCAAGAAAATCAAGTCAACCTTGATACACGGATTTCCATGATTTTTCCATTCCTTATAATATTTGTTTATACATTTCCTGTGGTGTAGGCATGAATTATAACAAATATTACATTATAGATCCTCAACTGGTTGTGTTAGAGCTTGACAAATGCCCATCTGCAGCCCCCCCCTCCCCCCTTTCATATTTGTGAGACATGATGCTCTGAAATTTGTTAGTTGATATTTTCAAAAAATTAAATAAAAATATCATATTATTCAATATAAATTTAGTCTTAACAACTTAATCTATACCAAATTAATTTTAAAATAAAAGACTGGCCATCAAATGAAATATGCTATAAAGTGACCAGCAGTTCTTCTGTTTAATTCCAAAAGGATACAGATAAGAACTGCTTGATCAGATATGCTCTAACAGAAATGATTGAGACAGCTAGCCTTCCTACACTGAACTCGTTAATTAATCTTTAACTGGATGCATGTCCACTCATTACTCCCAAGGGATGAATGGATCTGCGTTATCTGCTTTGTAGTGCAATTAAAATGCATATTTATGTCATACTGAAATTAAATTTGAAAACAAAGATTTTTTTTCAATTTGTTACAAAGATTTATAAAAAGAAAAAAAAATGTAATCTTGATGCAACATTTTTAATAAGGTTTCTGCTTGACTCTTAGATTTGTAGGGACTATCTACCATAATTAAAACTTTTTTTGAAATACTTGATTTTTTTTTTCAGACTCAATGTCAGACTGGTTTTAAGCTGCAATTCATATGGAGAACCGGCATGCTAATTCCAATATCACCCCCCCCCCCCTTTCTGCGTATAATTAGTTTTAATCAATTAGTTTAATATAAGATATCAAATTAGTTTATAATACATATAATACAATATCAAATTAGTTTTAATTACTTTTCACCAAATTCATTTTAAAAGTTAGGCTAGCCCACAAAAACTATGTAATCCAACATGGCTGATTCCTCTGCCCAATTCCCAAGAGATATAGACAACACCTGCTTGATCAGAGATGCTCTACCAGTTAGCTCCTCACACTAAACTCATTAATTTCTCTCTAATTTGACATGCAATTTTCTGTTATCAAAATTCTCCTTGACCAGTGCTTGATAATTACACCCATGGGAGAGGTGGAATTTCTCTTGTAACATTATATTTGTTATAGATTGCTGTAAAGTATATAATGAAAAAAATAAGTATTTTCTTGATTTTAACATTTTTTTAATGAGGATACTGCAACACTTTTACATTTTTTGAGATTGTGTTATATAATAGTAAAAAGACAGTTTTTTTTAAAATTTCACTTAAATTAAAGGTCACAGTGACCTTGAAATAGGTCGCGACACACCTTCTACCTAAGATGCATAAACTGGCCAAGTTTGATGATTCTAAGTCTAATAGTTTTCTAGTTATGAGCCGGACAGGATTTTTCCATATTTGGCCATAGCATCTTAATTAAAGGTCAGAACGACCTACTTTTCGTGCGTGACACACCGTCTACCCAAGAAGTATCAGCTGACAAAGTTTGATAATCCTAGGCCTAATAGTATTAAAGTTATGAGCCGGACACAAGAAAAGCTAACAGACAGACAGACAGACGGACGGACGGACATGAACGCCATAACATAATACGTCCCGTCTAAAGACGGGCGTATAAAAATCTGGTAAAAGTACCCTTGCTTATTAAAACTATTAAACTGCTTCTGATATGCCCAGGAGCAGAGAAGATTTTCAAAGAAATATTAAATGCATTTTCAATACAGATTCAACACAGCCCTACTTTAACATCAGAACCCATGAGATTCAAAAAGGACAAGCTAGGCTAAGAACCCTTTTTGGCTTCTGATTTGTGGTGTCTCCAGGAGCGATGCAATAGTTCATCATTAGAAACCTGTTGTCATCACTCTTACAAAATTAGTATTGATTCTAAGTTATGGGGTGCACAAAGGTCACAGGAAGGTCACAAAATATGTCAATTTCTGAATTTTCTCATTTTTATGCAAATTTTCATTAATTTTATAGCACATTTTGTTTCAGAAAGCACAGAGCACAAGCTTGCCTATCCATCAAATTTATATATTTCATGCACTAGTATCAGATGCTTTTTATGTATAAAAATTTCAGATAAGCAAGCTTGTACTTTATGTTTCCCGAAGTGAAAATTATCTCAAATTTGATGAAATTCCATCAGAATTGAGGAAATTCTGTAAAATGTCCAACTTTGGCACCCTCTTGTGGCCTCCCCATACTCTTTGAATCAAAATTATTGCTGGTTTTAAAACAAGCAACATTCAAAGTTCTCAACAGCAAACTATAACAATTTTAACTGTGTTCTGATTTTTGCATCAAATACGGGGCCAAATTTGGCCGTTACCATACCTTGTCCTTTGAAGAGGTACCTTCATCATCATATTCATACACTTAGTTGAAGATTTTCAAAGAAGTTACACATTTTCACTTTATTATCAATAGACCCCCCCCTCCCCCCACCCTTGATCATCATAACTATGCATAACTATGCACTTTGTGTACCTTCACAACACCGAGGTGCAGTCAGGATTATTTAATAGAATTAAAGCATTTTCACTATATAATCAATAGAGCCCCATCCTAACACCAGAACCCCTGACCAAGGGGCCATGAAATTTACAAATTTGGAATAGGCATCCTTGTTTATCATAATTATGCACTTAGTTTGTTTAAATAATACCAAGGAGCAGAGAAGACAATTTTCAAAGAATTAATGTATTTTCACTATATTATCAATAGAGTCCAGCCCTAACTCCAGAACCCCTGACCATGAATTTCACAATTTTGGAAGAGGCACTCTTGCTCATCATAACTATGTACTTAGTTTGTTTAATATTCAGAAGCAGAGAAGAAGATTTTCAAAGAATTAATGCATTTTCAATATATTATCAATAGAGCCCAGTCCTAACACCAGAACCCCTGAAACAGGGGCCATGAAATTCACAATTTTGGAAGAGGCATACTTGCTCATCATAACTATGTACTAAGTCAGTTTGTTTAACACCCAGGAGAGAGAAGAAGATTTTCAAAGAAATAATGCACTTTCAATATATAATCTATATAGTCCCATCCTAGCACCAGAACTCCTGACCCTGGGGCCATGAATTTCACAATTTTGGTAGAGGGCTTAATGCTTATTACAATCATGCCAACAGTTTGACACCTTGATGTCCTGGAGTAAAGAAGAAGGTTTTTAAAGATTGCATTAATTTTGGTGGTTTTATCCCCACCCCTTAGGCCCCTGGGGGACAGGGACCATGAAATTCACAATTTTTGTCCCCCTTCAACCATAGATGCTATATGCAAAATTAGTTGAAATTGGTTCAGTGGTTTCAGAGAAGAAGCTGAAAATGTTCAAATGTTAATGGACGACGCACATCGCACAACACACGACGACGGACGAAAAGTTGAAAACAGATAGCAATATGTCACCTGAGTGACTCAGGTGACCTAAAAAAGACAATTTTCAAAGGTGTAATGAATTTTTCAACATTTGACCAACTTTACTCAATCCCCGGGCCTGAACATGGGTCAGTGGACATTAATTTTACAATTATCATAAAGGGGAAAGTGCAAGTTCATTGTAATCATGTAAACAGTTTGTCTAGTAGATGTCCAATAGTAAACACAAAGGCTTACAAAGTTTTTTTAATGCATTTTCAATATATGACCAGCTCAGCCCCACTCTGGAGCTGGAGCTTGAATTCTGGACCCAGGAGACATAAATTTTCCAATTTTGGTAAAGGGTTACGCACTACTGTATAAAATCAGTTTGCCTACTAGATGTCCTTTAGAAAAGAAATTTTCGAAGTTGGAGCTGGAGCCTGAATTCTGGACCCAGGAAACATGAATTTTCCAGTTTTGGTAAAGGGTTATGCACTACTGTATAAAATCAGTTTGCCTACTACATGTCCTTCACAAAATAAAATTTTCATAGTTGTTATGATTTCTCTATATACTGTATGATCAAATTAGCCCCATCCTGGGACCTGAACAAAGGGCCAATAGATTTTCAAAGTTATGAATTCTCAGTATATAAAAACTTAGCACCACCCTTGCACCTGAACCATGTGATTGGTAGGATTTAGTGTAGCCCTGCTGTTCTTGAAATGGTTGTTTTTTTTTTTTAATTTTCTATATATTCCCACATAAAACTCTGATCCTCTATTTTGGCCCCAACATACCCCAAGGGACCATGATTTGAACAAACATTAACCTGCACTATCTGAGAATGCTATCAAATTGATATGACTAATCATGGCCCTGCTGTTCTTGAAAAAAATATTTTTAAAGATTTTCCCTATATATTCCTCCTTAAAATTCTTATCCCAAATTGTGCCCCCACCCTACCCCTAGGGACCATGCTTGGAACAAATTTGAATCTGCATTTACCTGAGGATGCTTGCATATCAATATGACTAATCTTGGCCCTACTGTTCTTGAGAAGAAGATTTTTAAAGATTCTTCCTATATATTCCTGTGTAAAACTTTGACATCTTATTGTGGCCTCACCCTATCCAAGGGGAGCATGATTTGAATGAATTTGTGTCTGCACTACCTGAGGATACCTGCATATTACTATGACTAATCATGACTCTGCTGTTTTTCAGGAGATGATTTAAAAAAAAATCCTTTATATTCTCATATAAAACTTTGATCCCTTATTGTGGCCCCATCCAACCCTGGGGGCTTTGCTTTGAACAAACTTGAATCTGTATTACCTGAGGATGTTTGCAAATAATATGACTTATCATGGTCCTGTTGTTCTTTAAAAGAGGATTTTAAAAGAATTTTTCCTACATAATCCCATGTAAAACTTTGTTCCTCTTCTTAGGCCCCAGCCTACCCTGGGGGCCATGATTTGAAAAAAAAATTGAATCTACACAATGTCAGAAAGCTTTCATATAAGTTTTAACTATTCAGGCTTTTTGAGAAGATTTTTAAACAACCCCACTTATTTTTGCCTTTTCTTGATTATCTCCCCTTATAAGGGGATATACTATCTTTCATTTCAACAAATTTGAATCCCCTTCACCCAAGGAAACTTTGTGGCAACTTTGACATCAATTCAGTGGTTCTTGAGAAGAAGTTGAAAATATGAAAAGTTTATGCATGACACACACTCATATGTCAACAAACATCTAAAAAGAGCTTCTGCACAGTTTGTAGTCATTGATTTCAAAACTGGTAATTACTGAACAAAGTTTATAACAATTTTTATTTTATTCTCTTACCTAGTCTCGAGTTTTCTTTTAGGAAATATGCCAAATCTAGCATGTCATCTTCTCTACAACAACAAAAAAATTTAAAAAAACATTAATTCATACAATACTGTAAACATATCACATTTGGTTGTGTATTCTATTTAGCGCCTTTCGCAGCAGCTAATTGTCTTGTGTATATATATTCCTACAAGAGGCCCATGGGCCACATCACTCACCTGAGCACATTGGCTAGAAAAAGGCAGAAATCAATTTAATATTGAAAAGGTTAAATATATATGTGATCACAAATACCCCCTCCCCTCAGGAAAGGGGGGCCTGATTTATTCACACTTGAATGTACACTAACTGAGGATGCTTTCATATTTCTTTGACTAACCATGGCTTTAGATTTTTTTTCTATATGTTTGATCTTCTATTGTGGCCCTGCCCTACCCCTAGGGGATATGATTTGAACAAATTTGAATTTACCTTACTTGAGGATGCTTCTGATTTAATATGACTAATCATGGATTTGCTTTTCTTGGAAAGATTACTTTAACAATTCATCATATGTATTCTCATGTAAATATTTGATCACCAATTATGGTTCCTCCCTACCCCTTGGGGTCATGAATTGAACAAACTCTCCTATATTTCTATTTTAAACTTTATTTGCTCAGTGTGACCCCATTCTAGCCTGGGGGGTCATGATTTGAACAAACTTGAATCTACACTAGCTAAGGATGCTTCCATTTAAATATCACCAATCATGACTCTGCTGTTTTTAAGAAGATTTTTTTTTATAATTTTTCCTATAAATTTCTATGAAAAACTCTGTTTGCTCATTGTGACCCCACCCTAGCCCCAGGAATCATGGTTTGAACAAACTTGAACCTGGACTACCTGAAGTTGCTTCCATATAAATATGACTAATCATGGCTTTACTGTTCTTGAGAAGAATATTTTTAAAGATTTTTCTTATATATTTCTATTTAAAACCCTTGCAAAAGAGCACATTTCTATGAGGCCTGTTTTGTACAACACACTCACGTTTCAAAAGAAAACCAAAGCAAAATGCTGCTTTTTAAAAGTAGTATCAAACAAAATTCTTATCAACTGCCATTGATGCATGAATATTTTCATTTCTAATTGTTTTCTCTGAGATAACTCTTTGAAAGTTAGGTGAGTTGATATCTTGATCATTCTACTGGAATGTAATTATAGCAATCACAGAACACATTTCTATTGGTAAGAAGAGGCAACAAATATACCCCTGGTAGATAAATGAAGAGGGAGATAAAAGTTCCAATTTTGATTAGATTGCTATTTATCTAGTGTTGCCAGTTTTCTTTTTTCCAGAAGACCACCACAAGTTGAAGTATAATAGGTAATTTCTAAGGTTGTTTAAAACTTTTGCAGTCCAGTCACACCTTTCATAGTGCAGTTCAAATTGATCCCAAAAATTACACACTTACATGTATTTTCACTTCCTATACTAACCAAATTATATGTTGTGTTTAAGAAATAAAAATAAAAAGATAATATACTTTATTGATAAATAGATTTAATGGTTTTGGCTTATGAGTAGATAGTATACATTTATTGCATGATCGTGAGGTAAATATGAAGATTTATTCAGCCAAGAAAAATCATATTCCCTAAGGGCTTCGCTCCAGGGGAATATGATATTTCTTGGCCGAATAAATCTTCATGTTTCCAGAACATTCATGAATTAATTGTTCATTATACCGAAATAAGCAAAAACTTTAAAAATAAACATAAACTTCAAATTCAGCACCGCACTTAAATTCACTTTCAATTTTAATGTAGTGTTACTGAAACAATTCACAGATTTGTGACGTGAACCAGGTTATTGTGACGTCAACTACTCTCAGGGGTTTTCATTCAATGAACAATAACTATTGTGGGAAAATGCAACAGGTCTCCGAAGAGGTTGAATATGATGAAATGCATGACAACGACAGGGAAATATGAAGTTTTATGGCCCTGTCACATTATTATCTAGAACCAATCAGATAACGTGTTGTATAGAATAATTATAATGAGGTATAATAATATTTGTTCTATTATTCTACTGCAAATAATGTGCAGTCATAAACACACACAATAGAAATTTCATACCTCACATTGTGATGTCACACAAAGCACATTATGAAATCATGCAGGTGTGTAAAATAATTAATGTCACTTCTCTTTTGAAACCAGACTTACTCTTCTACAGGTTCAGGAAGTTTGTCAAAATACTCATCTTGTACATAAACATGGCATGTAGAGCAGGCTAAAGACGCTTCACATGCACCTTGAAAAAAGAAAGAGAGAAAAAAAAAAGTCAAAAACTGCTTTAACATGTTTCTTAGGTAAAAATATGACTAGTTTTAAATAACCATGATTTCATCTAAAAGTGGAACAATATCTGTATATAATTACATGTACCAGGGTATATTTTTTCTGCTTTGAGAAGAAAAATTGTGAAATTAACATACAGTACAATATGGATACATAAAGAAATGGTAAAATCCAAATCAAGTGAAGTTTTTTTCATGAAAGATTTCAAAGCAGTATACAGGATTTCACTGAAAGTTTGATATTCTTTGTCATGGCCTATCCAATACATGAAGTATCAACCATCCTTTCATAAATATGTGCCAAATTTTGTTGAATTAGGAAGCCAAAGACTAAAAGTGGCAATTGTGATTAAAAAAAAGAGTCTTAGATATACAATTAAAAATTTGCAGAATACTGAGTCTGTATAGAACATCAACAAGGATCAAACTAAACACATACCTTCTAACTCAATTCCATATCTGTGTGCTAGGTACAGGACATTGTCACCTATTTTACCTTTTATAGGAATGGGTGTTCCTGTTTTATCTATGAATGTGATGTTCACTCTGCAAATTTTAAACAAATGATGAAAAATGTACGTCACATTGAATTTAAAAGCTTTATCACTGATGATTCCTTTTTTTATTCATTACTGATAAATAAAACTTTTAATTCTTTAGAGGTTGCATTCTTTTGTGGCTGATGTAAAATATTTTTATCTTACACTTCTTCAGGTGATTTAGGATCTTGCAATTCATATTCCCCATGGTAAAGAGGACCTGAAATTAAACTGAGCAAATTACACGGTTTGATAGTGGGCACAGAGTGATATGAAAAAAACACACACCAAAAACAAGCTATGTAGAACAGCAAAAGAAACAAACAAAAATACTTGGCATATTGATGGAATGTATGCCAGACAGTTCCCAAAGGAGACAAACACTTTGTGAATTATTTACAAAAATCTCTTGAGAAATAATTATATATAGCAAAAAACGAATAAAAATAATCTTTTCATAAATCCCTCATGTGAATTAGGAGCACTCCAATTATAAAAATGGGTATATATTTAAATTGTACATCTATTTAAAAGTAGAGTTAGTATATCTAGCTATTTAAGACTTTTCAAATATCTATTGATGATGCCTAGGTAAATTTTTGTCATAAAATGAAGACCATGAGACTATTAAAAACAATGGTGAAGAATATATACAAGCTTATCAATGCGAGGTAAAAAAAAATAATAAGAGTTAAATAGCCTTTAGTTTATCATAATTTAATAACAACTGTTAAGAATTTAAACTTAGCTTATATTTATAAATGGTAAAATATATATGGGGGTTACCATGAATATAAAATGCAGTCCATCACTGGTAATTTTAAGCGTTTAAAACATAGCCTGGATTTTATTTGATCTTGCCTGGTGCAGGGCATGGACGTAATACCTAACAAGTTTTATTTTTTTTCCCATTTAAGTAGTGATGAGTTCGTTTCAGGTTGCCTGGCATTTGTATCGGGCACGTAGCATGTACAGTCTATGATACGTTGGGTTAATTTTTTTTTCTTGTCCAATTATGTTTGTATTCAGCTTGACTAGGTTCTGTATTTTATCCATATAAAGTTCTCTTTTTGTCTCAAGCTGGACAAATTTTGCTATAAAATGATTTTCATCTTCAGTTTCTTGTCCACAGAGTTTACAGATAGAATTGCTTTCTTTTATATTCCTTTCATTAATATAGCCCAGTTGGTAGGTACCTGTCATTATTCTTTATACTTTTATGGAAGCCTTCTTTGTTTCCATTGGACTATGTTTAGAGGATGTCCAAACAAAAGTGTGGATGACCAGGTTTAATGTTTTCTATTGCAAAGTACTTCAGTGTAGATTTTTCTTTTGCTTCTTCTAAGAATCTGTAGTACCAATACAGGGCTACTGCTTATCTAGCTTCAAACTTGAGTTTAGATTTCTTTTTATTGGAGTTAAGGGTCTCTAAATCTGATGGCAAGTCATGTTTGATAAGAATATTGTTGAGTTTTATGAATCAGCTGTTACTTTTTTCATCTTTCATTATAAGTTGTATAATAGTCAATTTATGTTCTAATGGAATTTGGATTGGCTGCTATTCTGTGAAAGGCTGAAATATATTGTTTATCAATCACTTCTTCTATTGGTAATTTTCCTAGAAGTAAGTACACTGCTGAAGTTGTTCTATTCTCTAGTAGTGAGTGCAGCATCTTTAAATTCTTTTTTAATGTAGGCCTAAATCTAATTTTTATGTCTGTAAGATATTTGATTCCATGTAATATTCTTGTTATGATAAATGTTAGCCACATATAAGTTGTAATGATAGGTGACACACCATTCATTCCATGCATACCACTTCCCATCAAAGCATAAGCTGTTTTCCTAGCAACCTGGATTCTGGCAGATGTATCTGGAGTACTGTCTTTATTACACTCTATAATTACACTATACAACATGACCCACCCTAAGGCTTTTTTCTTTTCCAAACAGGACATCTGATCTTATTTTTAGATGATTTTTTAATAGGGTTGATAGACATTTTTCATAAGGAAAAATGGAGACAAAAATGTTATTCTTTAAATAGTGTATCAACACATTTTTATGACATCTGTTGGACATTTTGAGCAATATCAAAGTTCATTAAGTACAATTAAACTTTCACCCTATTGATTATGTCGTTCTTATTGTCATAATCAGAGGGGGAAAAAACAGCTATATTCTACAATGATTATGATACTAATTTGTTGATCAAGTTCTATTTTCGTTTTAAAAAATGCACATAGTTATATATTTCTAGATACTTTAATTGTAAGATTCTTCCATGCATTTTTTTCTTTTTTCATTGAATGACATTGAATAAGCTGTTACTATTAAGGAGAAAATTAGAGAAACATCTTTATGTAATTTTAGAACAAATTCGAAATGAGGAATCCTCTCACTTTGCAACAACCATACCTGTAGCTGTTTTAAAATATCTTTTCATCGAATACGTTATATGTGTGGTATTTCTTTGCCATAATTTGTCACCAAAAACAACACTTTTGACTAATTTCGTGCATTGTTTGCACAACAATCTTTGTAAGGGCGCTGACATATTTGTTGAGCTAGGTCATTAGTTTCGGATTAAAAATGTAGGTCATCCTAAATGAGAAACTAAAATCCAAACAAAGCGCTAGCTCTGTATGTTTGTAGCAATTTTATGACAGAGAAACCATCGAACCAGCAGTGGAAAAAGTTCCATCTCGGAGTAAACACGTAAAGGATAAAAAAGCTGTGAATGTTTTCTTCTAATCATGGGGGAATCTTAGTGTCCGTCAAATTCAGTAAAATGAATCATGATATTTGGTTGCAAATTTGACGGTGCCTTGCATGTGGAGAGGTCAGCGCATTTTTCAACATGGCGACCCGTAGACCAAAATGTAATCAAAGTCTATTGTGTATATTGATCTATTTGTTTACATTCACGTTTGATGTACAGACGGTGTCCGAGAATGTGAAGTGGTTAAAAAACATAAGTTCTGGAAGGCTGCAATTGAGAAACTTGGGTGAAAAGGAAGATAAAGTATACACTGGGCTAAATGATGATGGGTATTTTCCTGACACAAGGCAGGAGACACCCGATCCCTCAGTTCTTGGGGGCATCAAAATCAAACATGAAGCCCAGAAACTCTCAGCTCGACTCAGGTGGCTCAGTAATGAAGAAATTGGAATTACCAAGATGCAGGTTGGTTTTGAACTGAAGATTTATTCAACAGATTTCTCAATACCTTAGCCTAATAAGAAATTGTAAGGGCTGGGATAATGCACATCACTTTCTTCTGAATCGATATGCTGCACAATATGCATATCATGATTGGATTTGCATTACAATATTTTCAATTAATTTATTTCTTCACTAATAAGAAAAATTTCATATTGGCCATGCATTTGTTTAAACAAAACTATTAAAAAAGGTAGTGATAATCATGATGTATATCAGAAGTTAAAGAATTCTTTATATTTGATTTGAAATACACTCAAGATTATAAAACTCGGTAAGTTGGAAATTCGTATGTTTTGGGAAGGGATATTTCTTCGATGTACCAATATGGGTATTGTCCTCTATCAGAATTGAGATTGTCAGTATTTTGATATAACATCCGAACCCTAGACGTTATTTATACAAAATAGTGAAGATACCCTTATTACTGAAATATGTAAAAAAATTGTTGAAACATATTTGTTGTCTTTTAGCATGTTTAGTCACACAATAAATTATTTTTATTCTATTTTTTTCATCAATATGATTATTTGTTTCTATTTGTATAACCTAAGAGACACATCTTTCAGGGAAATCAAGAGTTAGTGACTAATATGGGGATCAATTATCAAAGGTGTTAATTATAATGTTGACGTTACAAATTTTAAGAAATGGAAATTTTAAGAGATAAATTCCTGCAGCAGTCCTTCTCAATGTATTGCAGTGTGCTTCTACCTTGATATAGTTCTTATTGAAAAGTTCAAATGACTATACAGATTCATTTAAACTAAAATGTTTTATTATTATTTTATAGTAAAACACACTTATAGCAAAGTGCCAGGGACATACAGTTTTGTTTTATTATAAACATAATTCGTTATATCCATTTATTTCACAATACATTTTAAATTCTCGGGGAATGAAAATCACTTTGCTCTAAGCATACATTTGCTATAAGTGTGTTTTACTGTATTTCTTATTCCTTTTATTTTGGAGAGGGAGGGGGGTATATATTTTTAAATTTATTATGTTTCAAAAAAGTAGTTCAAATTCTTGGATTGGTTTTATCATACAAATTTTCATAAGTATACTTTAAATATGAAATATAATCTTACTGCAATAAAATGGCTGTAAGGTCATGTAGTAAAATTCACTCAAGTATTCTGAGATTGAGAAACAACCTATTTTGCTGATTATGAAGTGACAGATCTTCACAGTGCCTGCACACAAGGTGTCTTGTAGATAGATGTCATTCAATATTAAGACAAGATTTTTTTGTGTGACTTTGATGTTTTCAATACTGTTCAATATATTATCAAAGTGGGTCCATTTTTGTAGATAAAATTATTGAAATCAATTGTCACACCTAGAGGAATTAAGGTTTTGTTGACAAAGAGCTCAAGGTAGCTATAGGCAAATATTGGTTGAGAGTGGATTTAAAATAGTGATAGGATCTGAGTTCTTTATCTTCTGCTTTTCTTGTTCCCATAATTAGATATTGTACTATTACTGTGAGCATTTAGTCTCTGTATAGAGAGTCAGGTCTCATACTTAGTTAAAGAATATTTAATGTACCAGACTACCAGTATTTATTTTTTTTTCCATTATACAGGATAATTTTAAACTGATGATTTATTTAGAAAAAAATGTTTATATTAATTGTATCTCATAATCTCCCTTGAAAAAGTATGTTTTAAATATCAGCAGTTTTTAAGTCTCATACCAGTCATATCCTCACATATATATGTGTACGATGTCACCTTTACATTTGAATATTCCATTTGATAGATAATGATGAATGCAGGGTGCCTCAATATCTATCATTTAACTATCATTCATGTGTTCAATCTTTTTCTGACAAACTCATTCTTTATATGTTTGAAGTCTTTTTTTTTTCTTTTTAACTTTCAGGCAATCTATGACTCTTTACCTTATGAAAAGAAAGAACAGGATCCCAAAAGTACATTGCACAAAGTGAGTTCATGAACATTTTCTAGAACTGAATAAAAATAACAATAAAGGTTAAAAACAGGTTGGGGCTGATGGGATCTAATATTATTTGATTTTAGTGATAAATTTACCTTTATTTCTAGTTGAAGTTCAGAACCCTATTTTATATTCACCAGAAAATTAAATGTACAGGTGTTTTATTTATCTTTCATAGATAAAAACTTGCTTGAGCATAATTATTGTTTAATTTTTAAAGGTTTTTTTCTGTCATTTGTTTTAGCAGTTCAACATACAGTGCTCAGCAAACTTGACCAGAACTCTGAAACTGAATACATGGTTAAATTTTACATAAGAAAATAAAAATCCTTTTGTGACAAATTTATGAATCTTTTGTAGATTGCCAGACGTTTGAAGAAGAGGTTTAAAAATTACATCCAAGTTCTTCACACCAATAAAATCACTGTTCAGAATATGTACAAATTCCATGTTAGAAACCCAATGACAAGTAACATAAGCTGCTGCATGATTCCATCCACTGAATTTGTGTAAGTTCATTTTATCATTAATGCATCATTAAGTCATTATGTTATTATTTGAAATCTCTCTTCATTTTTAGATCTTTAAAACTTTCTTGTAAATTTCTAATATAAATTTTTAGAATTCTAATATATCAGTTTTCAGAATGTTCAGAATGTAATCTGATAAGCCATATGGCTTAAGGAATAAATAAACAAACAGGAGAAAAAAGCAATTAGGTTTTTCTGACTGATTGACTGTTTTGTTTATATTGCACTTTCTTATTAGTATCGAATGTTTTAATAAGACTAATTTTAGAGAAGTGAAAGTTAATTCAGGTGATTGAAAGAATGTAGTAGCTTTTTCACAGCTTTCCTGTTCATATCCGTACTAAAATGTGTTTTGTACCTTTTCTATGTATGTAAAAGTGGGTAACGATTAGAAGTTGTAAACTACCCACCATGTTATTTTTTCATTATATAGAAGACTATCCATTTTTAAGGACATTTAGGTAGATCAAACACTATCTACAGCCGGTGTTGGACAAAAAATCCAATACCGCAATATTGGTTCTCCCCTGGCCAAGTAAACAATTACCTGGCTGGCTCCTTTGTAGTGCTGCAAGTAACTCCTTTGATAATCAGGGCTGAGGAGTGGGTCAGGCTAACTAGCCAAGAATTACCTGAGTGCTGTGAAAAATAAGATTTAAATCCAAGATCTTTCATGATAGGAGCTCTCATTCTCTAGTTTAGCAAAAGTGTTTGTATGGAAATGACATTGATATTTTAATGTGTATCAAAAAAGAGAGAGGAAGAGAAAAAATCATAGGGCAAAATGGACTTATTGCACTGAAAAAAAAGAACCAAATTACAGTTTGGAGATATTTTCTATAGATGAGATGAAAGCTGCCTTAATAGTCTTGATTTGAATAAATCTATCAATAATTTGGAAAGGAAAAGTGATTGTAGCTTTGATTTTATACCTTTGATTAAATCCCTGCAATTTAGCTTCGGGGAGAAAATGGTAGAAAGATATTCCATCAATATTCAAATTACCATAAACTGTGTGTTCAAACAAGAAGGCATGGCTTTTGAAGAGATAGAAACTACACCATTTTTGACAAGTTTTGCCTTAGATTTGGCCTGCAGGTTGAATTGATAATGCTTTGTATTCTAATGTAGGTGAATAAATAAATTCTAATGAGCATATTACCTGTGATTATATACATTTACACTGGCCTGCTCTGGGAATCAAGCAGTAATAATTGATTCATAAAAATACATTTAGATTTTACAAAGAGTTTTGAAGGGAATGGAAGTTTTGTAAGGAAATGGAAGTAGAATGCCTTTAGAAAAAAAAATACATTTATCTGTATGTCTCTATAGTCCATAGCTACCCAATCCTTCATAAAAATTCACATTTTCTGACATAGATTATACTGCATTAGATTTGTGCATTGTCTTATAAAGTTTAGTAGGACATATTTCTGTCCTGAAGATATGAGGAAGGACTGGAAAATGTTGCTGTAAAAAAAGATGATGTAGAGTGGTATTAAGTAGTTTTAATAGTCTGATTATAACACTTGATAAGGGTACAAAACATCTTTATTTAGGGACCAAAGTCAATTTGCTTACTGCATATATGGTATAATTAAGATGGGGGGAAAAAAACTGATAGGATAATAGATACAATGGAGTTTGGATTTTTGGTCTCATTTCCTTAATAAAACATTTACAAACAATAAACTTGTGACATATTTCAGTTAGATAAGAAGATAGTAGTAGTTCATATTTGAGTTTTTTTGTATTTTCAGGGAAGATAACCAGTATGGGTGCAGGATCTCTAAGAGAACCAGCTGTGATCTGTACCCCGACAATGTCAGAGAGAATGCGTTTAACCCTGGCCGAATGTTAACGGAAGGTAGGCTTGTTAAGATAGACTTAATTGAAAGGACACTTTTAAGTTAGTGCAGGATGACTATGCTGCTTGTACATACATACTAATTTAAAAATTATGTCACATAAGTAAACCTCCATTTAGCATGTGTGATAAAATCTAGCTATTTATGGGGCTTGGTCCACTTTCTGTAGGAATTGGCATTGTAAATTTACACTATCATTGGAATGTCACTTTACTTTCAGTATCAGAATTTATAAGCTGCTCTGATTTATATGTGGAGGACAAGGATATTGCCTCTGTAATCTTAAAAAAAAAATACAACTGAAAATGACTAGGTTAGTAGGTAGTTCAGATTATATGCATAACCATACATCCAAATCCCTAGAAGTCAACTTTTTTCACACAGAGAAAGAGATTGTGTTATTTGGAGAAAAAAAAGGACGGCTGGTCATAAATCAAACTATTCACCAACTGTTTATGTTGGTATAAATTCATAAAGAACTCGATTGAAAATTACATTATTTTCAGATTTGACTCATCATGAATCCATTTGGTTTTAACTGCACTTAAGATAAAAAGATAATTTTACAGAACCAAACTAGGCCTTTGCAGTTCTTTTCTCATTTTTGGCAGTTACAAGTATATATTGAAAATGTCCTTTGAAGTAGTTAAGTTGTGTCAGAATTTGTGTAAAGTGACCTTCTGAATCAAATTAAGCTCTGAAATGTAGGGCCATTTCACTTAGAATTTCTGTGTTAATAAAGTCCTGTTTTGATTTTGGAGGATTACTATGTATCTAATGAACTACAAGCAGCAAATGCTATTCATTGTGAGACACGAGATAAAAAAGGAAACACAAATTTTTTCCTTAGTAATTCCTTTGACACTAGTATCTGCAGATCTTATTGCATAGGAACTAGTGAAGGCTTCCACTGAGCTTTTGAAAGTTAAAGAGTATCATTTACACACTGTGGATCATTTCAATAAAAGAAAATCTGTTTGATCATTTCAGATGTCTGTCTTGACAAAGTAGTTTGTGAAATATTACACAACTGTCTATCCATCATTCTGTCATTCTCTAGAGGGCCTCAATTTGCTAAGAAAAGAAACACTTCTTTACTGAAAAAACACTCAGATTTTGTATGCATTGAGAAACATGAAATCAATTAATTTTTCAAAGGAAAAGCAAAGAATCAGGAGTGAATTTTTGTAAAAATCAAATTTCCAGCTTTGAAAAATTTTCAAGTATAAAAATTTTAATTTGAATTTTCTTTTATGTCCTTTGCATATTGGTTAGGCACTGTCCATATAGTGTAATTAGTGTATGTAAATCCTCATGAAATAAATTCATCACATTAACAGTGTTTGAAGCTCACCGGACGGAGGACTGACTGCAAAGTTGTCAGCCCTGCCAAAGATCTACTTTAGCATTTTTAGATCATTTTTAGCAATTATGTAAGTGAGACCAAGTTACCCTGACTTTGATCTCGAATATATACACTGAAGAATTCTGCCACTTGGTTTGTTACACTTTGCTTCCAAAACTATTAGTTGATATTTGAGAGATTTATCAAATATGAATTTTAATTATCAGAAATTTTAACACATCCAGTCGGGCTTTGATACCTGCAAATTTGTTCACTCGCTGCCAAATTTGTGCATCTCGGGTGGTCGGGTGCACTGTTATTTCAAACATTAGTGAATCACATAAAGTATATTCATTCATTGACTTTTTTTTAAATATGAATACTGGTAGAAAAAAAAAATATTTTGAAAGTTTTGTCCTTGCCAAAAAAAAAATAAAATTTTGAGAGTTTTGTCATTGCGTAATGTGTATGTAGATTTACTCTTAATTTGGGTCTACCTTCAAAGGTTACAGTGAGTTTTCCCCAGAATGCACAAACATCCCCTGCTACTTCAGATAGGGGCCTGTATTCATTGCCTGCCTAGCAATGGGCAGTCATGGTGGTATGCTGTGCAAAACAGGCCAGGCAGAAATGAAAAGCCAACAGCCCAATCCAGATTTATGGATATTTTCCATTTATGATGAGACATTTTTCATGCTTTGGTTCTGTTTGACTGGGAATGTTTTACCTATGACAAAAGGAGAGAGAGTGTGATATATAGGATGTACAATGTCCAGAATCTATATATTTTAGTCATCTTTATGCATGATCATAAAGGAAATGATATGCTGTTGTTCAGTTTTCTGTGGTATATATACATGTAGATAAAATAAAATTACTAGAAATCTCCCTCTTTCTCTGATCTAAAACTGTATTTTGATGGTATCTAGTTTATTACCATATCCACATTTCATCAAAAACAATTTCGGTCTATGTGTGGTGTCAGATTCACTTTATAGTGTTGCACATGTGGAGAAAAACAGCTGTTTCTCCTGAGCAAAGGTAATGTTCACAGGTACTTCAAAAAAGTTGTATTAATGCATTCAAGATGTCAAACAAGCCCAAATCTCAAAGGATTCCTTCATTCAACAAATACTGACTTTTTTCATGTGGTTTAGGTACATGAGTTATAATTTGATAAACCACTTGTTTTTGAATCCTTATTCATTTCCTATCCTTGCATGATCTATGCAAAAAAAGACTGTTGTCCAATCTTACACATTTCAGCATTTTTTTTTTTTTTTAGTTTTATGTCTTGTACATATGGTAGTATGTATTATTAGCCTGAAATTATATTTTTTTAAACCCTGAAGAAAGTGTGATGAGCCAAAGCACACAGATGATAACTTTTTATGTGAACCATTTTGCAAAAGGTCACAAGGTGAAAAAATACATGGCACATTAAAATAGAACTACTTTAGATCTAGGAAAATGAGCTGATATATGTTGCTTAGCTATGATTTCTTTTAGCACAGGCATATGAAATGCTGGGAGATGGGTTGTGTTTTAAAGCAAATTGCCTGTTATTAAATCCACAAGGTTCTGCATGGCTAGCTGAGTGGATCTCATAAAACGGCAAGCATTATCCCAGCTTCTTAAGGCTTTGGGGGAGCTTTTGTAGATCAGCGAAATGACTTTACCAGTCTTGTGATACTTGGCTATTATACCTGCAATTGGAGTATTCTCACATCTGTGCAAAATTAACATTTTCCCCCTATACTTTGTAGGATTCCTAGATAAAAATGTTAAGTTTGTCCAGATTTTTTTATCACCTAAGAAAAAAAATTATTACCATCCCAAGTTAAGGAGTTGTATATCAAATGTAGTAATAAAAACATTGTCAGAAGAAAGGAGAAAAAAATGTGTAAAACTGAGAAATTTGACACTTATAGTTCAAACAAGTTAGGTGTTACACTAGATTTTTAGCAATACCTTTTTTTTGAAAATGGATTTAGACATTGGGGATAACTTTGTGTGTAACAAACATAATTTTTCTGGCATTTTAAATAAGTAAAAATTAAATGAAAATTCCCCCCTGGTCAGCAATGACGAATACTGGTGTACCAAACATGTCCAGATGGCCTTTTAAACTTTCAGTTTGAATGGACGTCTTAAAACCCAATGTTATTATTCCATGAAAAATGTAAATGAAAGGTTTCTCATTCATGATCCTAGCTAGATGAGTTCTACATTCATACAAGGCTGATAAATGAAGGCCGATAAAATTCATAATAAAAAAAGAAAAGTATGAATAAGTCGTCATTTTATCAGGAATGATAAAAGATCATTGTAGACCACCTTTAAGGTTCTCCAGCAGAAATTGAAAGACACAAAACTCTACCCTACAAATAGAGGGAAAGTTAATCGGCAAATTCAATGCTGTCCTGTCCAATAAAAAAAAACATGAAAATATTTTTTATTTATGCACAATCAAATCATTGTATTTTCATTTAATTAATTAAAGAATGTATTATTATGCTTGAAAGCCAATTTTATTTCCGTTCACTTTCATTTCTAAGAGGGTAATGTGTAATCCACTTCAAGTATGATCAGACCAATAGCATATTCCAAAAAGATACTTCAGAGTACAATATTAATGATAAGTTTTCATATATAAGAAGATAGGAATATATGGTAATTTTTGCTATGAAAGATGCATAAAAAAATAGATTGCATATTTTCTTGTATTATAACTAATTTATTTCAGTTCTTTAAAACCTATTTCAATGCAATGACAAACTGTATTTTTTCATCTTAAAGCAGAAATGACAGAATTTTTAAAACTTCTCTTCTTTTTTTGCAGTATGGAAGGACAACAAGAAACTGTTCCCTGGATTGAAATGGCAGTATTTCATATCTGTAGATGGTCTCCATACAGAATACCCAGCCAATGCTTTCTCTTGGTTCAACAATTGTCCCAAGGCTCATGATATCAGACACAGGTAAAAATAAAGCTTATATCCCCCATTGGGCCCAATAAGTCAGATCAAAATTATATGTTGCAAAACTCAGTGGTTTAAGGTGTATGTAATGACAGAGGAAAAAATGTAGAAAAACGTGCAGCCTGCATAAGCAATAGAATTTCTACCGAGCATGCTCAGTCAGAAAAGTGTTCAGAGTAACAATGCGGCATGAAATTGCTTCTAGGTAACCGAGGAAAACAGTGGTTGTGGGTTTGACAGTTTATTTCTGAGTTAGGAAATGTAGCAGACATTTTATATACAAGATATTTACTGCCTAGCTTTTACTTGTAAAACATAGTCTGGTTTCCAGGCACATTAGCAGTGTTTTTGAAGGCAGTGGTGGTGTGTACAGATGAAGAAACAACAACTTAAATCGACATTTAATGGCAAAATTTACGTCTTTGAAATAACCTTTTAAGTTGACCTGTTGTGCAGATGTTATGTAACCGTCTAAAAAACTGCTAATCAAAGCACCCCGAGTTTTGTGTGCATTTGCCTGATCTTCAAAACGACATCTATTTTCATTGTAACGTAAACAAGAAACAATTTGGTTTATTCAATGTATATCCCTGTATCCCTTTGACTCGCTTATTTCAAAGTGGAAAATGTTTATTGATCTAGTTTGAAGTTGATATAGGTTTTGTGTATCTGAATGAAGGGGGCAATGTACATACTCCAATAAAAGAGTAATTAAACATCAAAGCTCCGTCTTGTAAACCCACAGCATTTAAGCGGCAGTGTTCCGGCATAATAGGGATTTTAAATATTCTCTTTGATGTCTGTTCAAACCTGTTAATTTGAATCATTTTTTTCAGCATATCTATAACAATTGGCAATATTGGCAAATAGGAAATTATTTTTCCTTTTTAATTATGCAGGAAAAGATAGTGCAGCAAAACTATTGTAGAGAAATTTGTATTGAATGTTCAGTGTATTGAGTTATAGACCCTAACAAAGCAGTATGTAAAAAGGGGACACACTAAATGAGACATTTTAATATACTTGTCTGATCATTCTGCAGTCAGCTATTAATTACGGAAGCTGCAGTGTAAATGTCATTGATGTTTTGGACCAAATCCTTTCAAATATCCCCTTTGTCCTCCCCTTTTATCCAAAACCATTTGATCCACCAATATGATGTATTATTTAGGCCAACTTTAAAATAATGTTTGGCTGAATTTTCAAAAATCTATTTTCTGGTATGCATAAAAAATTGTTTCCTAGAGGTAAAAAAAAGAGCTGAGTTGGGCCAATTTTAGCCAGTTGGTTGGGAGAGGGCAACCAAACAATTTTTTATAGATGGCCTTATATCAAATCTCTTTGAAATCATCAACATCTTGGTCTTGGAACTACAACTCATTACAAATGTTTACCGGTATATGATATCAACATATTAACATGAGCAGTGTATTAGCCATTTTAATTTCTAGACAGGTTAACCAAGTATAAAACAATTCTCAGGGCAGAGAGGCAAAAGATCTTTAGGGATCATCAGCTGAAAGACGTCTGATTACCAATCATAAAACCCAGCCAATATAAGTATTCCAAACTATCAAAGAGCAGCACTTGACATGGTGCTGAGCTGATTGTATCAGAAAGTGGCCTGTTAACAGCATGATGATGTTTAACTTTGGCACCAGGGGGGTTAAGACTTCACAAGCCAAAACTCTCTTCATCCTAGCTCTTTACTTGATGAGTTCTAGAGAAATCAGCCAGGAAATTCTCCTCTGGTGTCTGTATTCATAAATTATACATTCATGATTTTTTTTCATCAATACATACAGTACAGGGATGCATTAACTGGTTCCCTTTGATTGTCAGAATTTTTTGTCCTGCGCTAATGGGTCACAGCTGATGGTCACCAATAGCTTGCATAGCTGAATTGCTAAACAGTTCAAAGAAAAAGAGGTTCCAGTTATTTGATTTTTTTAAAAAGCTTTATTGCTTTCAAGTGAAATATATTTAATAAGTTGTGGAGTTTTCAATGCTCTGGCATTTTTTTATTGCCAGTGGTTGTCAGAGAAAACTTTACTTTGTAAATCATGTTCTTTTGTGATTCAAAATTTGCATGACAAAAAAGAAATTATTGCATGCAAGAGTGAAATTTGGGCTGTATCTCATGAAATCTAAAGACTGATATTTTGGGATGTGAGTAAATTAAGCAGAGTTGATGAAGCAAGAATCTCAGTAAAGTACTTTATATCCAAACATCATTTACGCAACTTGTGAAATGTGTACCAGGCATTTGCATGCAAGTTGGTAATTACGATCATAATTTGTAACCTTGCATTAGGGACATGGAAGAGAAATTAATAAATTGAGCTTGGTGAAACAAGGCCTGGATTAATTAAATATACTGGATTCAAACAAGGTTCTCATAAATCTAGTACCTGTAGTGTGCATGTTCAATAATTACATCCATAATTCTTAGCTCACTATTTAGAACCTGATATCAAAGTGGAATTTTTCCTTTGATTTCTAGTAATAATCTAGAAGATATAGATTGACAAGGTTGAACCTGAAAACTAAAGAAGAAAAAAACACAGAGAACGGGTCTAGTTTATTGGAAATATAAATCAAGTAGTTATTAAACATTGAGCCTTTGATGTAGAGGAAAGCAAACATGTGTGTCACAAACTTCAAAAAAAAAAGGTTGGTCGATGAAGGCAGACACTAAGTCAGGGCTGCATTTGTGTGTATTATTTGATAATTCTGTTTGATTACTGCATGAAATTAAAGGAGTATTTTTTTTATCTCTCAGCTCTCAGTCAACATTTCAGGGAGTGGACCACTAGGCTTTGATCTTGCCTTTAATAATTCAAATTAACACACTGCAGCTCAACAGTCAAGGAATAAAATTAAGGGTGTGCAAGGCGCATAATGTCACTGTGCAGCTAGATAAACAGATCGAGCAAAGATATTGTATTAGAGAAGACTAATGGATTTGACTATAAAATGGATAAACATACATATATAACAGAATAAATCATAGATAGCCACATACAAACAAAACAAAATATGAATGTGGCTATTCCAGTCTTAATAAAAAAAATGATTATCAAATGTCTTTTCCCCGAAGTTCTGGGGACTTGTTTGGGATCCAGATGTAGAAAATCAGTTTTTTTAGTCATTGGATATATGATATTGGCTAGAAGAAGTAAAAGTATTGTAAAATAAAAATCTTTATTTCTATCTGATTACAAATAGCCACCCATTGCATGTACAAATTTTACCTAAGACCACAGGTATTAGAGGTTGCTTTTAATTTTCATCATTCCTATTCTTGCTATCAAACTACCAATATTAAATCATACTTACATTAATCACATAGTTAGTTAAGTATTATTGTAAATTACAGTGGCTTCACATTGCAGTTTGTTATACTATTAATTTCAGTGATGTGTACCTGTCCACTGTGCAGCCCCAGCCACAACATGTTGTCATAGTGATGGACCATGGCAACTCACTTAGTAGTAACCAGCTAAAAACAGCCAAGGGGATCGCCAAACAGTTTCTGAACTCTCTGTCAGAAAGGGATAGGGTCAGTATAACGGAATTTGGAACTTGATAGGCCTTTTAAGCAACTAATAATTGTCTGTTTTAGTGTGATAGCAATATGATTGATATTAACCATATATATATGGTGTTTTCCTGTCTGTAAGTAATATATTAAGCACTTGTTAATTATCTTTACAGGTGGCTGTATTTGGTTTGGCCTCTCGCCCCTCCTTTCCTCGTGATCCAAGAGATGATTCATGTTTACCAAACTCTCTGGTCCCAGCTACATTTGAAGCTAGTCTCTTCTTCAGCAGCTTTGTGGACAATCTTCGGCAAGAAGATGGTGAGTGAGAAAGGATTCAAAAAGTCATTATTTTTTCTATTTAGGGTAACTTTTGTAATAAACAAAGATTAAATTTGATATTTATTATTATTATTCTCAGCCTCCACCAATCACTCTCTTGGTTTTCAAACTGCCTTTGAGATGATAGAAAACATGGTTAGGAGAAGCAAGGGAGTCAATATAGGTAAATTCACGAAGTAAAGATGTGTTGTTAAGTTCCAAACTCATAACTATTAAATGATAATTCCCTATTATAGAGATGTATTACTTTATGTTGCATGCCAAGTCTTTTGATGAATTATACAGAACTCTGCTTTTCTGATTTGACAGAAAATGCCATGATACTTTACATCAGTCGAGGCCTACTGTCCTCTCTAACAGAAGGACGTGACATTATGGAGACTATTTCAATTCACAATGGCCGCCTGGACCACAGAGTCATCATCAATACATATGCTGTCATAGATGGTATGTGATTATGTAAACAAGTCAATGTTCTATCCTGGAGTATTACCTGTAAATGAAAAAAAATCTAAGTTTTGGTCATCCATACATTGAAAATGATGGAATAGATGCATCGTCATGGTGTTACTTGTACTTTATTTCAGATGGGAAGCATATAATGTTTGAGAAGAGTATTTTACAAGATATTGCTGAACAGAATTTTCACAAGTATGAGGTCCAGTACAAGAGTCCAAAACCTGTCATTGTGAGTACAGTCAAAAATCTTTCATTATTTCTCCTCAACAAAGTCAGGGTGAGCTTATAATGCTACACCCATGGTTTCAATATCCTAAGTTAAAGTTTTTAGAGCAGGTTCATTCCTGAGAGTCTGTGAGCACTTCCTTGACCATACTTGCATGTATGATGCATCTAGGGATGCACAGTACAAGACTAGCTTCAGATGACCTATATTTTCTTGATGAATACCCTTGTTAAAGTTTTTGGAGTAGGTCCATGTCTAAGAATTCATAAGCTGCCCCTAGAACAAACAAGAACTAGGGTTGCACAACCATCAGACATGATTGTCATTTTGCTTCTGATCTAATGTATGTTTTCTTAGGAAGTGGCAAGGTCCTTTCCCAATAAAATATGTGTCCAATCTTAACAAAACTTGCATGAATTATGCACCCAGAAATACATACTTTTAAACTGCATTGCTTAAGATTCTTCAATTGATGTGTATTTTTAGCTGTTTAATGAAAAGCCTGTAATGATTAATTTCCATATGTTTTGTACTTATTATTTATTTGGTATGAGACTTAGCCTTACTTTTAGTTAACATTTGTCAAGGTGGGTTTATGTTTTAATTGCCCAGTCAAAACCTTCTACATTTTCTTTTATTTCAGCAATTCTCAAAATTAAGATGATCATAAAAATTATTAAAATTAAATGATTTACGAGACATTGATTAAGATATCTTTACTGCTTTAAATGGAGTTATGCATGTGACTTCTTATATAAGTAATTGAAAAGATATATCTTACGAACATTCTGAGGAAGTGTTAAAAGTTTTCAATTCATTTACAATTAATGCCTGTATTTGTTGTAGGCTGGAATGATGGTCACCATTAATTCTACAAAAGATTTGAGTGTGTCAGTGGGCAAGTTCTACCTCCCCCTTAACAAAACAGCCCCTGAAGCCTCAGTCTTCTCTCTACCCTACATGGACATGGCAGATCAGAGTAAGACAATTTTCTATAAAAAAAATCATTTGCACAGTTTTATTTTATGCATTATAAATACTCATGAAATTACATTAGACACATGTACTGATCAAATTAAGGCACAAGAAGTAATGTCATTAGATATAATTCCATTAAAAAAATTTTTTTACCAGTGCTATTAACCTTGAGAATTCACTGTCAGCAGTGTAGAAGTTGATGAAAAACCCATTCATATATATCTCTGGTCTTTTGCAGCCTTAACAATGAGCATTAGTCAGCCCTGTTTCCATGGCAAAGAGCTGATAGGAATTATGGGAATTGACCTACATATGGAGGATGTAGTTCAAGATGTGACATACTACAATCAGGATATCAACTCCTATGTCTTCCTCATCAATACTGACGGTATGCTTATTGTAAAGGGAGATAACTTTCTGTTTTATAAACATTGAATGCAGACCATTTTTTCCCTCAATTTCTCTTTTTTTTTCTTTAAAATAAAAAGAATGTTAGGAATTAAAAGAGCTGTGTTCCTCTTCCACACAGAAATATATTATAATATTAAATTTTAACATCATACAAGTTTCAATTATGATTCAATGGATATTAGATATCATTACTTTTGTTTGAATTTATGTATTTAGAATTCTGATGGAGTGATACATATTCTTAAATTTTGCAGGTTATACAATCATGCATCCTTCATTTAATCGACCCATGAAAACACGGATTCAGCCCATGCATACTGACATTTGGCATTTTGAAAATAAAGATGGATTTGCCAGAATAAGAAGTGACATGCTAAAGTAAGAGAAATTCTTAGATTTTAACTCTCACTGAGTGATATTTTGATGTCTTTGCTGTTTTTCAGAATGATATATATTTTGATTTTGTGGTTGTAGTTTACCAGAAGGAGAAAGGGTGATGCAAACCAAGAGAGTAAATACCAACTCCACAGATGACAACTCGTCTAAATCAGACTTCACTGCCAAGTACATCTGGAAGAGGGTAAATCATCATTTACAAATTACTCATTTACCAGCACATTATAAGATTATAAGATTTCAGCTTTAAAATCCTTGATTTAGAAATATTGAAATTGTTCAGGCCTTTTTTATTGTTGCCTATCATACTTTGATTTGTTGACTTGTTTCAGATTGAAAACACAACTTTCATTGTGGTACTGAAAGTTTTGACCGAGACGGGAGTCACCCAGACATTGGAACAACTACATGGTCAGTTGAATTAGTTAGATACAACTTGTGAAAATTAGTTGTGTTTTTATCTTTTTGAAATACTTCTTGATAAAATGTGCTTGCATTCTATGATATGTGGATTCTGAAAGCAGAAAAATGCCAAAGAAATCATTGTTTTTGTTTAAATAAACCCAAAGAAATTCAAAAGAACTAAAGATAACTTTTCTTTCTACTTTCAGTCTCAAATGATCCCCATCTGGTGTATCATCGATTAGACTTAGTTCAACCGATTGACATGTGTCTTCATCGCCATCTACCAGCAACAACTGACACCAGCACAGTATTTCTGTCTGCCAAGAGCTTTCTTGATCCTTTTGAACATCTCAGTAATTTAGAGACAAAGCGTATGGTGCAGAATTATGTGGCCTATCTTAAAGATGATACCCGCTTAATCACCAATCCAGGCTTAAAGGTACAAATATATACATTGAATAAGTTTTGATTTTAATGTTTTGTTTTCAAATAGTATGTAAATATCTACATGTATTAAGAAATTGCTTTCTTTGTATTTTCAGATGGAGGTTAAAAATGATGTTGCTGCCACTGGTCGAATAAACACTGAATGGTTGCGCCGGTATCATCACCGCCTGACCCACCAAGAGGATTCTATTGTACGTCGCTATGTTGCCACACCTAGTGGGGTGTTTAGAACCTTCCCAGGGGCAGTGATTGATAAAACCAGTGATCCAACCAAAACTGACTGGTAAATTGTCGTGAAAAGTTATTTAACAAGGAGAACTGATAAATCTCTGTGAATGAAATGCATAAAAGATTCAGTGACACTTCTTGAATCTATTTGTATAAGTTTAATTTATTCAGTTACTTTTTTACATTATCATTTCTCTCTTCCAATATATTTCATGGTTAGTAAAATTGCATAGTTTACACTTAATTTGTTTCGTTGGTAGGTACCAGAGGGCAGAAGAATTCCCAGGTCATGTGACTCTGACTCCACCCTACTTGGATACACTAGGAGCTGGATACATAACTACAATTAGTCACACCATCTTTGAGGGAAAGTAAGTACATGTTTGAGTATGATCTTTTTGTTCATCTCTTTTATCATTTACAGTGGGAGATATTTTATAATGTTTGATTTATTTCTTTATCAGGCCTGCATCTCTCCACAGTCCTAAGGATAGGGTGGTGGCTGCCATGGGGATGGACTTGACCCTGGGTTTCCTCCACAAACTCCTGTCTGAGGTCATTCCCACCTGTACACACAAAAACATCAGGTTAGCTATTGCACAAACTTAATTGTTGTCAGAGAATATATATATAGTACGTTTCTTATTTATCTCAAACATAATTACAATGATATGGGCTTAAGTGAAAATTATTTGATGACAACAATAATCTGATATAAAATACTCTTGTTCTAGATGTTTTATCATGGATGACAAAGGTTATCTAGTGGCTCATCCCAAATTGATTGAACCTAATAGTAAAGTGGTTCAGCACATCACTCACAAGGTAATTGTTTTACTCAAGAATTCACATTTCTTTAAATAGGAAGAAGAATATCTCTTTCTGTTATGAAATGGCTTTAATTAACGTTGACATGAATTTTGAACGAATGATTATCCATCCACAGGAACAATTGGTAGCCAATGATATTCTGAATCATAAACACTTTGTGAAGAAGACTCTGTGTAACAGTTACAATGACAGGACGATCCAGCGTTTCTACAAATTTAACACCAGTCTGGAGGGGGTTCTCACTAACCTGGTCCACGGGGAGCACTGCGCTAGATACCAGGTAAGTTACAGTATATCTCTTTAAAATTAAATCATATAAGCTATCAAGGAAGAAAGGTAGGGAAAATGGTTGAGATCAGCCTTTGAATATGTTTTCTTTACTATGAATGTTTTATTAATAGATCACACACATTCCTGGGACCAATGCTTTCCTTGGGATTGTGAACCACACCTGTAATACAGACACAGCCTTCTGTCCATGTAGCACAGTAAGAAAAGATAACATTTTTTAAATGTTAAAAATTAAATATTTGAACACATTAATAACATTCAGTCTGAGGTTACTTTATACTTCAACAAATCAAAATGGAAGAAATAAGACAGAATTTTAAAATGGTTCTGATTCCATTGGAATATGATTTTACAGGTGGACCGTCTCTGTCTGAATTGTAACCAGATGGAACAGATAGTGTGTGAATGTCCTTGTGAGTGCCCACTGGACATGAACTTTTGTACTGGAGAGCTTTTACAGGAAGACGACAGGTAGGGAATGGTTACTTTGTATTCATTATAAAAATTTGAATCAAGGGTAAGAACATTTAAAAAAGACTTTATTTAAAGTAAAAAAAGCAAATGATTTGATTCGATTTTCAAAAATCAAAATTGGTATGTATAGTAAATGTTGCGTTATTAGAATAAAGTTGTACATATGGTCATTACAGATTGACAATATTTTTTCAGGAATCCATCATGTGCCCACCAAGTAGAAAAAGAATCTCAGATACATTTGAATTTCCCACCTTTTAAAGATGTTCACCAGTGCCATGAACCAAAGTGTAATCTGCTCACAACTAAATTGTAAGAAATCTTCATTTACATTACTCAATGGCTACCAAAAATTTAAATAAATATTAAGAACCCTCTCTACACTGCACACTGAAGAGTTCTGATTCTTTGGGTTTTTTTTTATGCAGTAAGAGTAATCTGCCCATAAATCTCAAATAAAAGAAATTGAAATCTACAGTGTTTTACACAATTTGTAATCAATTCAAGCATTCTTTATATTTTTATAGACCAAGATTAATTGACCCTTTATTTGCATGTATTTACTTCACAGAAGTAAACAAGAATGATTTATCTTCATCAATACTTCATTTTTCTGGGGGTAAAAGCCAGATACCCTATGTTATAATAGATAAGCTCAATATTTCGATCTTTCTCAGTGTCCCTAAAACATTTTGCTATAGTGTATAGCTTGTCCTTAAACATGATTAAAAATATAGCAGAGAAGAGAAAAATTACAAGAAACTTACATTGAACTACATGTTGTTTTGTTTGCTATGTTGATTACATGTATTAGAACTACATGTTATTTTGTTTGTTATGTTGATCATTAGAACTACACGTTATTTTGTTTGTTTTGTTGATTATTAGAACTACATGTTATTTTGGTTTGCTATGTTGATTATTAGAACTACATGATATTTTGTTTGCTATGTTGATTATTAGATGCTTTGTTGTCTAACAGGGATTGCATCAGTGCCATTGGATGTGCCTGGTGTGAGCGACAGAAGCACGGACTGGCCACTGTAAAGTGGCCATACTGCGCTGACCAGAGGCACTGCTTTGGTGGGGTAGAGGAAGCTGTCTCACCCTACGGGGACGAAATCAGAGGTATGAAGAATACATTTGGAAAACACAGCAAACATTATATTTCAGAAAAAAAATTAAAATTTGAATAAAATCTTTTAATAAATTTTTATACAGCCATGGCCAACCAAGATAAACCTATACCGATGAAGAGCACTCCTGTAGGACCAGTGGCTGGGGGAATTATGGGATGTTTCCTGGTTCTAGCCCTGGGTGTGTACTGCTACCGACATCATATTCATCGTAATTCTCACCAGTATATCAGCAACTTGCCAGAAAACCAGAACCGTATGTCTCATTTTTATGAAGAAGAGCCGCACGAGCCGGCTGATGATATTGCTACAGGTCAGTGAGAACAACCATTGATTTTGAATTGAAAAATTTTAAATTTACAATTCCCCATGATTTTTTAATCAGTCTCGTACAAAACAAAGAATTTTTTTTTTAATATTAATTTTGATAAAATGAAGTAAAAAGGTTGTGTATAAACATTATTTTAAATACTTAAGCCCAAATCTTTATTTTTTCAGGTCACACTAACTTTGTGTTAGCTACATTTGATAATCCTGCAAGTATTTCACCTTATCGCGTAAACACCTCATATCGACGCCCAGCAGGAGGGGACAGTGATCACGGCTACAGCACGATGACCCCCCACGAGGACAGTGAACATGCTAGTCTGCCGTGTCTAGAACCTTTAATAAAAGAGAGATACAAACCAGGATCTCTCAGTGTTGTTAAAAATACCCCAGGGAAAATCCCTCCTCCACCCAGTCATTATAGGAGGAGTAGGAGCCCCACCCCTCCTAAGTACTATCAACCCATACCTGAACAGACAGTCATCCCCCCTCAGACTACCATCATTGAACATCCTCATAATGTCATAACCAATGTTCAGGTCCATATGGTGGACACACACTAAACATGTGCATTTTGTATAGATCTGTGACAAGACAGGAAAAATCTGTCATTAGTGAGTTTGATTAGTAGAAAAGGAAAGGTGGTGAAGTGCACTAAACAATTCCCGAACTCTGATTTCTCAAGGATTATAGAAGGAAAACTTGGTGCATGCAGAGCCTCACAGAGTTATTTTTCTGCCGGTGCAGGAATCTTTTGTTTGATGCAGATTTTTCAGACGTAGTTTGTTGACTATGTTGTTGTGATATGTATAAAAATCTAAGAATTAGAATGTACAAACTTCATCTAATTGGTGCCACAGAAAGAAAACAAATGCACACCACAGAGAAATAGGAAACTTCATTTCTCAAGAAAAGATTTCATGCTGATCTTTGTGAACCTCAGGATTTTAATAGGAAAACATTTCAAAACTCCAGGGCAATGTGAAAATTTTGGATTGAAGATGTGACTTCATGTAAATTTACGTACTGGCCAGTGTTGCTAGAATGATTTATTCAGGGATTGTGTGCTGATGTATAGATATAGTGGGTGCTGCTGTTTCATTCAAAGTGCTTTATGTGTGTTGATTGTGACTTGTGTAGATATCAAATTTTTATACATTCATGTGTAATTGATGCTATGATAGTTGTCTGTTTACATATTTCAGATGCTGGTATTTTTATTTTTATTTTAAAATGCCTTTTCAGATTTTTATTATTTGTAATATTAAATGGGCAGTTTTTGCACCTGGATTTTATATTTTTAGCTGTAAATAAGAGGTTGTAATAGGAAAATGATTATGTAGGTATTTGTGAAATAGAATTAAATGTCACCTTATTTGTATATGAAATAAGCTACTAGATATTTTATTTAATGAAAGCTTAATTACGTACATGTATATTATTAGTTTACAAGGTTGTCAAATCGTTTTAAAACGACCCATATCAGAAATGGACTTGAAGCCATAAGAATCAATATTTATATCTTATGCAGTAAATATTTCTCTTTTTTCAATATTGCATAAGGTTGTTAAAGTTTTGTAATACAACCCATTTAAGAAATGGACTCAAAACCATGAAAACCATTGTTTAATTAATGTTGTAAATGTATAACTTTATGCAAAATTGAATTACAAATATGATGAACCAGCAATAAACTGGGTGAAGCAGCAAAATCTTGGTACAAACCAGATGTCTTGACATTTTATTTATTGTCTGTGATGTTTGAGAGAGAGAGGGAGAGAGAGAGAGGGAGAAAATGTTTTGATTCATTTGTTGGCATTAATTGTAACCATGTTAATGATCATGTGCTTTTTTCAAGATGAAGTATTATATTTTCTGATTGTTGCATTATCTCCCTTTATAGCAAAATTTCTAAAGACATGTTTATTTTGTCTTACCTGATAAATATGATCTTCATTAATAGTTTTAGCTTTGGATTTTTAGAAACGTTTTTTGAATGATAATGTATTAAATTTTAATATGATTTACTGTAAGAACCCATTCTTTATTTAAAGAAATGAGAAAAAAATCATGATATACATATATGTACAGTTTCTCATATTTCTCTCTAATATTTGTACAAATATGTTCAACTTTTGTACATAGTATCTCCACTCAGTGCAGTTTTGTGCATTGAATACATGAACAAATGAAAACTTTGTAATAAAAAAAGAAAACCTTACATATGTATTTTTCTATTGATATTCAAAATCTATTGGTTACCATGTTTTGAAAAAAAATTTGCAGGACATTTATTGATTTATTTAATATGCATATTGGAGGATGGCGTCGACATTTCGGAATGCATAATATGTTATCTTTGAAAATCTTTAAAGGGACACATGTTAAAAATCGGGGACTTTCTGCATTCTCCCCAACATTTTTGTCCCCGTCTCGTTTGACGAGTCATCATCTTAGAATACCTGTCACCTTTGATGTGACAGTCCCTGGCTTGTTAACATTATGTCACCTCCAGTTTTAGCATAGAGTTAACCCCGTAATTTGCATAACGGAAGCCTCCTGTTATTAGAGGACGAGAGGGAAAGGTTTTCTCTAACAAGGTAAAACGTAAAAAATTAATGCATTTCGATACAATTTTTTTTAAAGATTGGGATTTATGAAGTATTATGGGAAAATAAACAGCCTAATGTGTTATCCTATAGGTTTCTAATCAAAGTCTCTTTTTATATATGTTTTCATAAGAATTACTATCTTGTTAACTGCGAGGAACAGAAAATCGGTTGACTTCGATGTAATTGTATTCTACATGTTTGTACATTTAAAAAAAATCAGTTATTGATACAATAATATGTATAATTCGATGTTTCTAGTTTATACACATCTAAGGAGTCGCTATATACAGGAAATGTTATTCAGGTGAATGATGCAAATAAAATGTGACACGACAATCTCTCTAAATAGATTTACGCACACCTATGTGTGTCGTGTGCGGTTTATACATCATACATTTATAATTAAAATGTCACGGACTAAACACTTTTCAAGTATAAATAATTTTTGAGTCTTTGCCTTCGGAGTGAGGGTTTTTAATTTTACATACTTATTCCTGACTTTATCCTCAGATTTAATGTGTACAGACTCAACATGGCATCCTAAAAACTTACGACTTGCTATAACATTGACTTTTAAAAACGTTTTCTCTCGACGTCTAGAAAGAAAGGGATGTCCCCCAAAAGATAAGAATGGCAGACTCCGAAGCCTTTCCATTTACATAATACTGCTTTTTACAGTTTCTAAAAAGTAGACGGGGAAACATGAAAAGAAATAAAGCATGAATTATTATACACACTGATTTACATCATTAGGTGTTGTACCGGTGAAAAATGAAGTGGACGGTTGTTGGAGTATTAGTTACTCTTCAGGTATAGCCACCACCACATAACGAGGCTAAAAATCACTTAATGACTTAATTTTATAACATTTCTTTAGTTTTATAAAGTCAAAATATCTATGATTCAGAAAACGAGGGAAAGACATAGTTCTAGAGCTGAGATCAAGAAATAATGTCTTACTGCAGAATTTTTCAATCTTCATAAAAAATGGAGAATCGGTTCTTTTCAAAGTCACTTAGGAAAAAAAATGAATATTTGTTTATTGTAGTTAATCTCTCTGGTTTGTGGAGTACAAGATAGCCAGCAGACGATCCACGATCATTTACAATCGGAAAACCTCATCCCTGTCCAAAGTCAGGCTGCACAGTCTCATCTTGTGTACGAAGGCAGCGGGGACATAACTGACCAATCAGAGAAGATCCCTATCTACAAGGTCACCCGACCTCCTCCTTCTATCAAACCTCCCAGGGACATAAAAAACATTGCAAATGGTTAGAATCATTTTCCTCAAATTTGAGACTTGTGATCGATTTATATTTATGACTCTCAATATTTAAGAATACCTTGAATCACTAAAATATAAAATTTCATGAAAAATTTTACAAGTATACCAGTAAATATAGGACACGATGCTCAATGCAGATTTCAGTATCAGTCTGTATTGAAACTCAAAGGAGAAAGCATTTCCATGCTGATCTTTTCTTACTTCATATTCTATTGTAGCAGGTCACCACAATGCTTCCGTTGTGATTCTACATAAACCGTCGCCTGCTATCATAGTTTTGATAGTGATTCTGATACTTCTGCTTCTGACATCACTGCTTGTCATTGGGTATCTCTGGAGGCGCGTTCGAATTCTTAAGGAGAGGCACAAAAAGCCATACCCCACAGAGGGAGAGTTTGACGAGGACGAATACTCAGTGATGATGGACTGGAACGCCACTTAAAACTCATCAAGGCTGCAGTGCTGTCTACAAATTGTGTTCTCCAGTTAACAAGGATGCACGATGATCTGGGCTATTCCAGATCTAGCAGTGCTAGAAATGTCCATTAACATCATTGTAAAATTTCTACAGGTGAAAAAATGAAACTTGCCAAATATAACAAAACGGTCTCATGACTCCATCGATAATTATTTTTATTTAAGTTTCAGTAATAAACAAAGTTCAAAAATGATTTTTCTGTGTTCATATTTATGCCATATATTGCTGGCTGTGTTTATCATGTTCCAAAAATCATAGTTTTTTAAAGACGGAATGAGTCTCGAAATTTGAATTAAAATATTGCTCATAAGGTTTTTAGAAGACCGGGTCCCCAAAGACTACATGGAGATTGTTAATGTGAAGCTCAAGGATTCTTCTAATATGAACGAATACCCCCACTCCCACCCCAATCCCCCACCCCCACCCCCGAAATATTAAGTTGCTCTCTTCTTGAGTTCATCCCAATTCTAGACCGTTAAAGAATTTTATACTTAAATTAACTATTTTACTGCAAATATATATTTGTGAAAAACACTTTGGTGACTAAAGAAATGATAAGTTGGATTTAAACCTATAGAAGCTACAATATTCACAACATTGCGTGTCTTTATAAATTCTTCAAGATTTGCATTCATCTTTCCACAACTTTTCCTCACATCCAAACTTTTCAATTATTCAAAAAATTTATAGTGCCTATAGATCTTGAGCATTGAAAACCAAATCCTCTTAAATGTTTTTGCTCTTCTTCTTCTTCTTTCAAGTACAGTCCCGCTGGACACGTCATTACCGGTGATATTAATAGAATTGAAAATGACGACCTAAAAGCAATCATCTTATGCCCTGTTCACACGGAGAGTTTAATTCGTAGTAAAATAATGCGAAGCAAAATGATGCGAATTAAACTAATGCGAATTAAATTGCGTTCACACGACAGCTAATGCGAAGTAAACTAATGCGAATTAAAATTTTATTTCTACAATAAGCCATTCAGTAAGGCTATTATGACGTCATTTACAAATCACGTCATATTGTGCACAGCAGATATACATTTGACATTATATAAATAGTGCACGTTTTTTAGGGTAACAGTTGAAATTGACACCCCAAGGAAAACCATTGTCAACCGACGCGTCAGCGGAGGTTGACAATGGTTTTCCGAGGGGTGTCAATTTCAACTGTTACCCTAAAAAACGTGCACTATTTATTTTATTATACTGAATGTCTTATTGATTTCGGATATCATACAAAAAATTCGGAGATCGTCGTTAAGTTCACGCTTAGAAAGCTTTCACACTCCCCACTTCTATTTTTTCAGTAAGAAAGCTTCGGAAAAGATTTACCAACCTCTTTTTTGTTTGTTTGCTACTCAAAAAGTCCTTTATCATCTAAAGTTTGCACTCGCAAGGATGTTTCGTCTGTCGTTTGTTGTTTTCAAGTAAGCTACATCGGACGCAAGCTTTTATTGACGTTGTTTATTCGACTTCTTTCAAACGCACAACCGACGTTTTGAGAATTCTACGGTGAACCGTACGCGCATCATTTGAACGCATGTGATATTTTCGTAATGTTACCCGTTGTCAAGTGTGTTGCTAATGCTGAGGGTAACATTACGGATTGTTAAATGCCTCTAAACTAATCAGATTTTAGTATTTAACATGAAAGTATAATAAAATGTCATAGTGTCTGTACACATTTTAGTGATTAACATAATATTCCTTTGTTTTCTACTCAAAAATAGCACAAGTACCTATATTTGACCATCGACATGTGGCCTGTGACCTAATTCTGCCCTTACGCATGCGTCAAAATTTAATTCGAATTAACTTCGCTTAGCGTTCACACGGAGCTAAAGCGAAGTAATTTAATGCGCAGTAAACTAATTCGAATTAAACTAATTCGCATTAAATTCTCCGTGTGAACGCGGATCAAATTTAATTCGCAGTAACTTACGTTTAATTCGAATTAAACTCTCCGTGTGAACAGGGCATTAAAGAGTCCTAAATACAGGAAGCCCCGATCTTTTAATTTGCGACGGAGAAGACCTGAACTATGAGGTGCCGTTTTGGTATTTACTGCCAAAAAGTGATATCACCTATTCGAATAGGTGATATCACCTATCCAATTGGTGAACACTTTGTCAGAATGGAATACGTGTTTAATGCCCTGTTCACACGGAGAGTTTAATTTGAATTAAACGTAAGTTACTGCGAATTAAATTTGAACCGCGTTCACAGAATTTAATGCGAATTAGTTTAATTCGAATTAGTTTGCTGCGCATTAAATTACTTCGCATTAGGCTAGCTCCGTGTGAACGCTAAGCAAAGCTAATTCGAATTAAATTCTGACGCATGCGTAATGGCAGAATTAAGTCACATGCCACATGTCGGTGGTCAGATATAGGTACTTGTATTATTTTTGAGTGAAAAACTATAGGAAAATTATGTTAATCACTGAAATGTGTACAAACATTATGACATTATGTCAAATGGATCTACCCTGCATAAGATGACGTGATTTGCAAATGACGTCATAATAGCTTTACTGAATAGCCTTCCTTCATAGAAATAAAATTTTAATTCGCATTAGTTTACTTTGCATCAGTTGTCGAGTGAACGCAATTAATGCCCTGTTCACACGGAGAGTTTAATTCGAATTAAACGTAAGTTACTGCGAATTAAATTTGATCCGCGTTCACACGGAGAATTTAATGCGAATTAGTTTAATTCGAATTAGTTTACTGCGCATTAAATTACTTCGCATTAGCTCCGTGTGAACGCTAAGCGAAGCTAATTCGAATTAAATTTTGACGCATGCGTAAGGGCAGAATTAGGTCACAGGCCACATGTCGATGGTCAAATATAGGTATATGTGCTATTTTTGAGTGGAAAACAAAGGAAAATTATGTTAATCACTAAAATGTGTACAAACACAATGTCAAATGTAAATATGCTCTGTACAATATGACGTGATTTGTAAATGACGTCATAGTAGCCTTGTTGTAGAAATCAAATTATAATTCGCATTAGTTTACTTCGCATTAGCTGTCGTGTGAACGCAATTTAATTCGCATTAATTTAATTCGCATCATTTTACTTCGCATTAATTTACTGCGAATTAAACTCTCCGTGTGAACAGGGCATTAATTCGCATTAGTTTAATTCGCATTAGTTTACTTCACATTAATTTACTGCGAATTAAACTCTTCGTGTGAACAGGGCATGAGAAATATATTAAAAAGTTGTTATATGCCCTGTTCACACGGAGAGTTTAATTCGAATTAAACGTAAGTTACTGCGAATTAAATTTGATCCGCGTTCACACGGAGAATTTAATGTGAATTAGTTTAATTCGAATTAGTTTACTACGCATTAAATTACTTCGCATTAGCTCCGTGTGAACGCTAAGCGAAGCTAATTCGAATTAAATTTTGACGCATGCGTAAGGGCAGAATTAATGCCCTGTTCACACGGAGAGTTTAATTCGCAGTAAATTAATGCGAAGTAAAATGATGCAAATCAAACTAATGCGACTTAAATTGCGTTCACACGACAGCTAATGCGAAGTAAACTAATGCGAATTAAAATTTTATTTCTACAACAAGGCTATTCAGTAAGGCTATTATGACGTCATTTACAAATCACGTCATTTTGTGCAGAGCAGATATACATTTGACATAATGTCATAGTGTCTGTACACATTTTAGTGATTAACATAATTTTCCTTTGTTTTTCACTCAAAAATAGCATAAGTACCTATATTTGACCATCGACATGTGGCCTGTGACTTAATTCTGCCCTTACGCATGCGTCAAAATTTAATTCGAATTAGCTTCGCTTAGCGTTCACACGGAGCTAATGCGAGGTAATTTAATGCGCAGTAAACTAATTCGAATTAAACTAATTCGCATTAAATTCTCCGTGTGAACGCGGATCAAATTTAATTCGCAGTAACTTACGTTTAATTCGAATTAAACTCTCCGTGTGAACAGGGCATTAGTCACAGGCCGCATTTCGATGGTCAAATATAGGAACTTGTGCTATTTTTGAGTGGAAAACAAAGGAAAATTATGTTAATCACTAAAATGTGTACAGACACTATGACATTATGTCAAATGTATATCTGCTCTGCACAATATAACGTGATTTGTAAATGGCGTCATAATAGCCTTACTGAATAGCCTTGTTGTAGAAATAAAATTATAATTCGCATTAGTTTACTTCGCATTAGCTGTCGTGTGAACGCAATTTAATTCACATTATTTTAATTCGCATTATTTTACTTCGCATTAATTGACTGCGAATTAAACTCTCCGTGTGAACAGGGCATTAGAAAGTTAAAAGGAAATATGAGAATTATATATTTTTCCGTTTTCATAAATTGGAGATGATAAAAGAACAAGAAAGACTACAGGAACGATGTGTTATAGTTCCAGCAGACAAGGCTTGTAATAATATCGTCTTTGTTTGTAAGGCTCATTATCATCACCGCATTTTAGAAGAAATTGGTTTTAATTCTACATCTGGAAATCCAGCTTATACTTGCAGTTCACTTTCTAAAGATGGAATTCTTCAAAATCACATTTCAGTATGCGATACTTCCAGTCAACCAAGTTCGATCTACTTACCTGTACTGGATTCCTAAATCATAAAATCCTTACAAACAGAGATACATTGTCGAGTTCAGTAAATGCTCTACCAAGCTGCTATCTTTACTACTTACAAAAATATACATGTATTAACATTAGACATACTGTGCTAGAGCATATTGTAGAGGTGCTGTTAATCAATATGGATTCTCAAAAACTCCAACTTAAGAACTTTCAGAAAATTTAAAATCACTAAATTTTTCAAAAGTCAGTAACATCAAAACGTACGACTTTTCTACACTTTATACAACTTTTCCCCATGACAAATAAAAAAAACTAATTTTTTGACATCATAGACAAATGCTTCTTCAATAAAAATGGAACTCGGTAATTTTCATATCTTGTGACTGGTCATCAACAAAATTACTTTGTTAAAAATCGCTCTGACTCTACACACATGTAATTTAAAGTTGATATTAAAAGGATGCTGGGGTTCCTCGTTTACAACATTCTTGTAGTCTCCGGAGACAAGGTCCTTCCAACTGTTGGAATTGCTCTGGGTTTAAACTGTGCTCCTTTATTTGCCGACCTGTTTTTATATTTAAATG